AGGCTGGTTATACATCCAGTTCAGGCACTTCATTTTAGTAGTGTTGGTTTATTTTTTTTTTGGTTTTTGGAGACAGAGTTTCTCTGTGTAGCCCTAGCTGTCCTAGAACTCATTTTATAGACCATGCTGGCCTTGAATTCACAGAGAACCACCTGCCTCTACCTCCCGAAAGGCTGGGATTAAAGGTGTGTGCCCCCTCCACCTGACATTATTTTAGTTCTTTTAAACAAAAGATTTAATGTATATTATGTGTGTGGGTGTTTTGCCTGTGTACTCTGTACATGCAATTCCTGTGGAGTCCAGAAGAGGATGTTGGATTACTTGGATTGGGATTGTAGATGGTTGTGAGCTGTCATGTGGGTGCTGAGAATTGAACCAGGTCCTTTGGAAGACCAGCCAGTGCACTGAGTGGCATTTGACAACTGAGGTTTTGTAATTTTCTAGTTTTAGGGAGACTAAGTCTCTTCATCTAAAAGGGAGGTAGAAGTTTTGCATGGCTGTTATAAAGGGTAGTGATAATTTATACATAGCTTATTATAAACATTTGATTAAAGGTAGATATCCCTATATTAGGAGGCCTGATAGAACCGAGATGGCTAATATTAAGGATGTGATGATGTCTCTGTTCTTGCTGTACCTGTCATTGCTTTGTTTTTTTGTTTTTGTTTTTTTTTAAATATTTATTTATTATGTATACAATATTCTGTCTGTGTGCCCAGAAGAGGGCACCAGACCTCATTACAGATGGTTGTGAGCCACCATGTGGTTGCTGGGAATTGAACTCAAGACCTTTGGAAAAGTAGGCAATACTCTTAACCGCTGAGCCATCTCTCCAGCCCCTGTCATTGTTTTGTTAAAGTTAAATCAAACCATTGTGATTTAATTTTAGGTTTTGCTTTTTCATAGTACCCAGCTCCATAGCAACAGCCTGCTGTTTATATATGAGCTCTGTTAGTTGATCTTGAACACAGTATGACATTTAATTGGTTTGTTTTTAAACCAAAGACCAACACTGAAGGTTGCTTGTACTCGGTGACTAGTGTTTTTAGCTTCTCATTGATGATCCAGTGACACAGACCAGTATTGCAACAAGGTTGACAGGTTTGGTGTTTATTGACACACTTGAGGTTCAGCTTCTGCAGTATTAGAATGACTGTTAGGTCATCCTTGGATTGTGGAAATGCATTCTAAAATTCATTGCTAGTGATGTACAAATAAAGTATTCATTGCATCAGAGTGGGAATCATTCTGGGGAATCAGAAGTTTGTTGACAATAGGCTGTTTTGTGAAGCTGCATGTGTTAATTAAACAAACAACAAGGACTGATGGAATGAGTAAGTGCTAATTTTCACGTGAGAGCTAATTTTAGTTCCAAGGCCTCCCTGTGATCTTGGAAATGAGAATAAAAACAGTTCTTGCCTGTGTTCAGGATTTGCAGTGTCCCAGGGTGCTAACATGACCTAGATATATTTAAGTAGTAAGGTTGGGTGACTAGACTTTGCCCTACAAAGGATTTCTAACACTTGGACTATTGTCTGCCTTTTCTTAGAACTAAAAAATGAACAGTCAATTCTGTTAATAGAGTCTAAGAATCAGTTTTCATAAGTTTTGTTTATTCCCTTCATTGGTCTTCCCTCTGCTATATACTCAGTGTTTTTTTGGTGATAGGTTATAGTTCCTCATTAATAAATCATGTGCTGTAGTTTATTAGAATGAGAGAGATTATGTTTGTATGTTTTTTTGGGGGGGGGTCTTGTTTTAGAGAGTCTTGATCTGTATCTCTGGCTGCCTGACATTCACTGTGTAGACCTGGATGGCCTTGAACTTGTGAAGATCTTTCTGCCTCTGCCTCTTAATTGTTGAGATTGAAGATAGAGGCTTCTATTGCCTGACCATAGATTTTAGTTTTGTACAACTGAGGGTCAAATCCAAGGTTCCTGTGCACACTAGGTAAACACTGTACCACTGAGCTGTACACCTAACTTTGCATTTTATTGTGGGGGGAGATACTTTTTAGTAATTTAAAAAGGATTTAAAATTATGTGTAATTGATGGGTGATGGCATATACCTTTAATCTCAGCACCTGAAGGCAGAAGGCAGGAGAATCTCTGTAAATTCAAGGCCAGCCCCGTTTCCAGAGTGAGTTCTAGGCCAGATTCCAAAGCTACAACAGAGAAACTTTGTCTCAAACCCCCCCAAAAGAAATTATGTATAATTATATCATTTCCCTTTTTCCTTTTCCTCCTTCTCTTCCTTCTCCTATATATCCTTGCTCTCAAATTCATGGCTTCTTTCCCCTTCCTTCCTTCCTTCCTTCCTTCCTTCCTTTCTTTCTTTCGAGACAGGGTTTCTCTGTGGCTTTGGTGCCTGTCCTGGACCTAGCTCTTACAGACCAGGCTAGCCTCAAACTCACAGACATCCTCCTGCTTCTGCCTCCCGAGTGCTGGGATTAAAGCCATGTGCTACCACTCGGCTGGCTTCTTTCTTTTTAATTGTTGTTGTTGATGAGTGTGTGTGTGTGTGTGTGTGTGTGTGTGTATCTGTATCTGTGTGTGTGTTTGTGTTTGTGTTTGAGGCAGGATTTCTCTGAACAGTCCTGGCTGTCCTGGAACTTGCTTTGTAGATCAGGCTGGCCTCAAACTCACAGAGATCTGCTTTCCTCTACCTTTTGAGTCCTGGGATTGAAGACATGCACCACTATGCCTAACATAAAAATGGGGAATTTTTTTTTTAATTATAAAATTAGATTTTTTTTATTATGTATACAATATTCTGTCTGTGTGTATGCCTGCAGGCCAGAAGAGGGCACCAGACCCCATTACAGATGGTTGTGAGCCACCATATGGTTGCTGGGAATTGAACTCGGGACCTTTGGAAGAGCAGGCAATGCTCTTAACCTCTGAGCCATCTCTCCAGCTCCTTGGTTTTGGTTTTTGAGACAGGGTTTCAGTATGTATCCATTGTGTCGTATGTAGACCAGGCTGGCCTTGAACTCACAGAGATCCACCTGCCTCTGCCTCCCGATTGCTGGATTAAATACACTTAATGGAAAAAATTACAGAAATGTAGCATTCATAGGTAATATAATGACAATATTACATGTATAAAAGAAAAAAGTTGAGGGTTGGGAAGATGGCTCAGTCAGTAAAATGCTTGCTATGCAAATATGACTGTCTTAGGATTTCTATTGCTGTGAAGAGATACCATGATCATGGCAACTCATAAAGAAAAGCATTTAGTTGGTGTTCACTTACAGTTCAGACGTATAGCCTGTTATGGTGGGATATGGTGGCGTGTGGTGTGCAGGTAGACATGATGCTAGAGAAGCAGCTGAGAATTCTACATCTTGCAGGCAGCAGGAAGTGATCTGAGTGTCACACTAAGCAGGCTACACCTATCCCAGCAAAGCCACACTTCCTAAAAGTGCCACTTCCTTTGGGGGCCATTGTTTTTCAAACAACTAAGGTGACTTCAATTTGTTCCCCTAGTACCCTTGTAAATGCCTGGCACAATGGTGTATTCCTATAATCGCCCTGCCTGAGAAGTAGGAAGGAGGATTCCTGAGGCTTGAACTCCAGGTTCAGGGCCAACTAGGCATAGTGGTGGCTGTCTGGCATAGTGCTCTTTCAGAACGTGGTCTCTGAGTGGCTGCTCAGAAGAAGCAGTTTATATTGTGAACAGTTTATATTGTGAACAGTTTATATTGCCCATACGTATAAAGACCTTGTGTCATTTGCTTAGTTCACATTTCTTTGCCTGAACTGTTATTTTGAAAGCTGTTCTTAGTAGATTCCCTGGATTTGCCATCCTGGATTTTTACGTCTCCAGTGCAGAAGTAACACTGAGAAGTTGTAAGGTATTCAATCAAGTTACTGGGTGTGCACTTCAGAAAACATTTTCAAATTTTGTTTGAGAAGGCATTTCTAGGTTATTAGGTTTCTTTAATTTCTAGAATTGTACATTTGAAAATTTAAAACTTTTCGTGCAGTATGATGGGATATTAGATCAGCCAGTGTATTGGAATAGGATATGATTATAGTTAGTGTCTTACTTGAATATGGATTTCTTTGATGTGTAAGATTGTCTTTTATTTCTGTCATTGAAGAAGATAGGGTTAGCTTACCTTTCTTTTTTTCCTTCGAGACAGGGTTTCTATGTAGCTTTGGAGTCTGTAGCTCTTGTAGACCAGGCTGGCCTCAAACTCACACAGAGATCTGCCTGCCTCTGTCTCCTGAGTGCTGGGATTAAAGGCGTGCGCCACCACCACCGGGCTCTAGTTTACCCTTTTAATAAGCCTGAGAGGGTTTTGTAGTGTAACAGCCCTAACTGTCCTGGAACTTGTCCTGATGGTTTTTTGTTTGTTTGATTGATTGATTTTGTTTTGAGACGGACTCTCTATTTGTACCTTGGCTGTGCTGTATGTAGACCAAGCTGGCCTCAAATTTAACAGATTTGCCTGCTTCTGTCTCCAACTTGGGGAGATTAAAGGTGTGTGCCACTACACCTGGCTATTACTGAACATTTTTATGCTGTTTTTTTCTTTTTTCATTTTGAGTGATAGGGTCAATGATGTTGATGACAGTGTAAAAGAAAAAAATAGCCAGCACTTGTAAAACACTTAGTATCAAGAGCTGTGTTCTTCTCAGACTGTCATGTGGCACTGATGTTGGTACTCTTAGCCTCAATAGCTGAGAGGAGTGTCAGTGAGGTGCATAGCTTATCCAGAGTCTTGCAGCTAAGACAGAAAACAGATAGGAATTGGAATAGAGGCACTCTTAGCCCCTGTGCTGCATGTGTGGATGCAACTGCTCTGTGGTGGGTAACTCTGCTGCTTTTCATAGGCTATGAAGATGCTAAACACCATGTGTCTGTGCCAATGTTGAACATTAGGAAATTCAAATGGGCACTGGGTCCCTAGTGCAGCTGCCTGATATGGCAAAGGAGCTAGTGCAGCACAGTGGTACATACTAATCAGTTCATCTTTTTCTCTACTCCTCAGTCTTAATTTCAAAGACCCTGAAGCAGTCAGAGCCCTAACTTGTACTCTTCTAAGAGAAGATTTTGGACTTTCTATTGATATTCCTTTGGAGAGACTAATTCCCACGGTTCCCTTGAGACTCAACTATATTCACTGGGTAGAGGATCTGATTGGTCACCAGGATTCTGACAAAAGTACTCTCCGAAGAGGAATTGACATAGGTAAGTTGAGGGTTCTTACTACTTTGAGGAACTAAAAGTAAGTTTCTTAGGTTTGTACATTGTCAGTCTCTTTCTGAGCTCTTCCAATATTTGTTGTGAAAGAATCTTTTATTTGTTGCACATGAACATTTGTTCTTGGTTTCTCTTGAGAAGAGATGTCCATGTCAGTTAGGAAGCAAGGGGATAGGAGAAGTGTGGAAGGAGAACGAAGCCCTTGTCTACTTACCTTACAGATTTCCACCTTAATATCTGTGTTTGTTGGGCATTGTCTACTTTGCTTTTAGACAATTCTTTATTTTACTGTTGCTATTATTTTTGAAACAGGGCTTCTCTGTGTTACTCTTGTTGTCCTGGAACTTGCTCTGTAGACCAGGCTGGCTTCAAACTGAAAGAGATTTCCTGCCTCTGCTTCCTGGATGCTGGGATTAAAGGCGTGAGCTACCATGCTCTGTTCTTTTTTTTTTTTTTTTTTAATATTTATTTATTATGTATACAATATTCTGTCTGTATGCCTGAAGGCCAGAAGAGGGCACCAGACCTCTTTACAGATGGTTGTGAGCCACCATGTGGTTGCTGGGAATTGAACTCAGGACCTTTGGAAGAGCAGGCAATGCTCTTAACCACTGAGCCATCTCTCCAGCCCCCTACCATGCTCTGTTCTAAAGCTTCATACCCTTTTTTCTTTCTGTTCCTTTTTTTTTTTTTTTTTTTTGAGACTTGCCATCTCCGTGTAGTCCTGGCTGTCCTGGAACTAGCTGTATAGACCAGGCTGGCTTGGACCTCACAGAGATCTTCCTGTCTCTGCCTCTTTGGTGTTAGGATTAAAGGGATTCTCCACCATACCCAATTTACAGAATTAAAACAAAAAAACAATAAAAAAAAAAAAACCAACCGATTATTGTTACACTGAGAAACCCTGTCTCAAAAAACAAACAAAAACTAACAAAAACTGATTATTGTTTCTACTTTATGTGTGATGTTTCATCTGCATATATGTATGTGAACCAAGTGTTTGCTTGGTACCTGCAGAAGTAGATCCCCTGCAGATGGTTGAGCTGCCATGTAGGTGCTGGAAACTGAACCTGGGTCAGCAACATGTGCTCTTGATTGCTCAGCCTTCTTTCCAGCCCCCTACTTTCCATTATTTAAAGTTTGTACATTAATACTCATACTGAGATTTTTTTTCTTAATGTGATATTCATTTAATAAAATTGATGTCAGTTAAATAAAAAGATGTTTATGTGTGTTACCATGCCCAACCCTTATATATGTTACTTTAAAAAAATCACCTGTAAGCAAATCAGTTCCAGTAATATTTATATTTAAGCCTCCAATTCAAACTTTTTTTTTTTCATTTTTACTTCTGGTCTGATATGTCTAAAAGAAGTTGAATATTTCTGCTAGGCATAGTGGCACACGCCTTTAATCCCAACATTTGGGAGACAGCAGCATGAGAATCTCTGAGTTGAAGTCAGCCTCATCTATATAGTGAGTTCTAAGACAGCCAGGGCCTCATCTCAAAATTAATCAAAAAAACAAGGAGAAGAATGGATGAAGAAAGTATGGAATATATACATATTAGAGTATTATTCAGCAGTAAGAAACAAGGACTTCTTGAATTTTGCATACAAATGGATGGAAATAGAAAACACTATCCTGAGTGAGGTAAGCCAGACCCAAAAAGAGGAACATGGGATGTACTCACTCATATTTGGTTTCTAGCCATAAACCAAGGACATTGAGCCTATAATTAGTGATCCTAGAGAAGCTAAATAAGGAGAACCCAAAGAAAAACATATAGGCATCCTCCTGAATATTAACCTTCAGCAAGCGATGAAAGGAGACAGAGACAGAGACCCACATTGGAGCACAGGACTGAATTCTCAAGGTCCAAATCAGGAGCAGAAGGAGAGAGAGCACGAGCAAGGAACTCAGGACCATGAGGGGTGCACCCACACACTGAGACAATGGGGATGTTCTACTGGGAACTCACCAAGACCAGCTGGCCTGGGTCTGGAAAAGCCTGGGATAAAACCGGACTCTCTGAACATAACGGACAATGAGGACTACTGAGAAGTCAAGAACAATGGCACTGGGTTTCTGATCCTACTGCACGTACTGGCTTTGTGGGAGCCTAGGCAGTTTGGATGCTCAACTTACTAGACCTGGATGGAGGTGGGGGGTTCCTTGGACTTCCCACAGGACAGGGAACCCTGATTGCTTTTCGGGCTGAGGGGGGGGGGGGGACTTAATTAGGGGAGGGGGAGGGAAATGGGAGGCGGTGGCTGGGAAGAGACAGAAATCTTTAATAAATAAATAAATTAAAAAAAAAGAAAAATTAAAAATTATCTGATAAAAAATAAATTTTAGAAATCTCAGAAAAACAAAAAACATGAAACAAAGACCTGTAGTAACTTCCTTTCCTTCCCTTCCCTTCCCTTCCCTTCCCTTCCCCCCCCCTCTTTCTCTGTTTTTTTGAGGCAGAGTTTCTCTGTAGCTTTGGAGCTCTTGTTAGACCAAGCGACCTCAAACTCACAGAGATCCTCCTGCCTCTGCCTCCCAAGTGCTGTAATTAAAGGTGTGTGCCACCAAAAAAAAAAAAAAACGAGGAGAGCTGGGCGGTGGTGGCACATACCTTTAATCCCAGCACTTGGGAGGCAGAGGCAGGTGGATCTCTGTGAGTTTGAGGCCAGCCTGGTCTACAAGATCTAGTTCCAGCAGGACAGGCTCTAAAACCACAGAGAAACCCTGTCTTGAAAAACCAAAAAAAAAAAAAAAAAAAAAAACCAAACAAACAAAAAACCATCACCACCAACAACAAAAAAAAACCAAGGAGATGGGGCTGGAGAGATGGCTCAGAGGTTAAGAGCATTGCCTGCTCTTCCAAAGATCCTGAGTTCAATTCCCAGCAACCACATGGTGGCTCACAACCATCTGTAATGAGGTCTGGTGCCCTCTTCTGGCCTTCAGGCATACACACAGAAAGAATATTGTATACATAATAAATAAATAAATATTAAAAAAAAAACCAAGGAGAAAAACTTGGATATTTTAAACTTTTGTTTAAGATCCAGTCTTTTTTCCTCATTTTAGCTTTTAGTTCTCTTTTGTTTCTTATTCAGTGACTGTCATACAGTGAGTGCACTTTGTTGTGTTTTGTTCATTTACTCTTTGAGGGGCCTGCTACCCACCTCGCAAATAATCACAGGAAGCCTTATTCTTTTGTATGAATCCTTAGCTTGGCTTGTTTCTAGTCAGTTTTTCTTGACTTAAATTTTCCCAGCTACCTTCTGTCTCTGGGCTTTTCGTTTGTCTGTTTGTGTTTATATCTTACTCCGTGACTTATTGTGCAGCTGGGTGGCTGGTCTCTGATGTCCTCCTTTTCTTGTTCCTGATCTTCTCTTCCCAGATTTCTCCTTCTATTTATTCTGTCTGCCAACCTCGCCTGTCCTTCCTTCTGCCTCATTATTGGCCGTTCAACTCTTTATTAGAACAATCAGGTGTTTTAGACAGATAAAGTAACACAGCTTCACAGCAGAATTAAACAAATGTAACATCTTTGCATCGTTAAACAAATGTTCCACAGCACCAGTAGATGTGACACTCTTTAATATTCTACAACAGCACTTCTCTTTATTTTCACTGAGACTGTTGATCACAGTTTTGTAATTTTTTTTTTTTCAAATAGGATCTTGTTATTAACTCAGGCTGTTCTCACATTCAAGAAGCCCTACCACTAGGGTTTGAACCTGAGTTGGCTAGGCAGGCATTCTACCATTGAGCTGCATCCTCATTCCCTCTTTTCTTTTTGGAGTTGGGGTTTTACTCTGTTGCCCTTGCTGGCCTCCAACTCCTTATCTCAGTTGATCCTTCTGTCTCAATTCCCTGTGTTTTTCAGAACTATGGAATTGTAGACATGTCCATTGTATTTGGCGCCCTTTCGTTGATTTATTTTATATTATTTGTGGCTTTTTGAGTTAAGATCTCCTGGAGCTCAGCATGTTTTGAACTCCTGATGCTATCTTGGCTCCAGAGTATTGGGCCTATGGGTCTACACCATCATATTCAGCTGACTTTATGAAGTATTTATGAATTATGTACTGTCCATCTTGACTGCTACCATCGCATCATCATCTGTACCATATGTACAGAACAACTTCTTGGTGCTTTGCTGATACCTCTCCTCAGTTGCTCCCTGCATTCCATTGTTGGTACTGTGTCCAGAAAATATGTATCAGTCCACATTTGATCAAATCTGTGTTTTGTTTTTTTTTTGTTTTTTTTGGTTTTTCGAGACAGGGTTTCTCTGTGGTTTTGGAGCCTGTCCTGGAACTAGCTCTTTTAGACCAGGCTGGTCTCGAACTCACAGAGATCCACCTGCCTCTGCCTCCCGAGTGCTGGGATTAAAGGCGTGCGCCACCACCGCCCGGCTAAATCTGTGTTTTTTTTGTTTTGTTTTTTTTAATATTTATTTATTTATTATGTATACAATATTCCATCTGTGTGTATGTCTGCAGGCCAGAAGAGCACATCAGACTTCATTATAGATGGTTGTGAGCCACCATGTGGTTGCCGGGAATTGAACTCAGGACCTTTGGAAGAGCAGGCAATGCTCTTAACCACTGAGCCATCTCTCCAGCACCTGTGTTTTTTTTTTTTTAAGATTTATTTATTTATTATGTATGTAACATTTTGCTTGCATGTATGCCCACATGCCAGAGGAGGGCGCCAGATCTCATTACAGATGGTTGTGAGCCACCATATGGTTGCTGGGAACTGAACTCAGGACCTCTGGAAGAGCCGCCAGTGCTCTTAACCACTGAGCCATCTCTCCAGCCCCTGATAACATCTGTTTTTACTAGTTGCTTTTGTGATAAATGCTTTTTTTTGAGACAGGGTTTCACTGTGTTGCTGTGGCTATCCTGGAACTTTCTCTGTAAATCAAGCTAACCTCGAACTCAGAGATCTGCTTGCCTCTGCCCCCTGAGTGCTGGGATTAAAGCCATGGCTTGGCCTATTGAAATTTCCATTTTCTCATCTTTACCCTCTTCTCTGGTTTCTTTAAGCCTCAGCTTACATGATTTTTCTTTTGTTTTCCACACTTTTAGACCCTCAGACCTTTGTATTTGTTATTTGTTGTGCTTCAAACTTCTCATCTTCATCTTGTTTGTTCCTATTTATACTACACGCACCAACTCAAGCTTGGTTTTTCAGTAAAAGCCTTCTCTGACCTTGCAACCTATGAAAGGTTACTTTATTGGTTAGACTACTTGGTTAATATTTTTATTTGCCACTAGACTACAATGTAGAAGGAGCTGCAGGTAGGCCTGCTTTTCATCCCTCCCAGCTCCCGCATGGCTAGCTTAGCCTCGGAAATAATGACATGGAAACTGTATTCATTTAAACACTGCCTGGCCCATTAGTTCTAGCCTCTTATTGACTAATTCTCACATCTTGATTAACCCATTTCTAATAATCTGTGTAGCACTACTATGTGCTGTCTTACCGGGAAAGATTCTAGCCTACATCTGTCTTGGGTCAAAGAATCATGGTGTCTGACTGACTCTGCTTTCTTTCTCCCAGCATTCTGTTTGGTCTACTCCACCTATCTAATTTCTGCCCTATCAAAAAGCCAAGGCAGTTTCTTTATTAACCAATGAAAGTAACACATAGACAGACGACCCTCCTACATCACTGCAAACTAATTAAGATAATTTCTCAAGGCCTAGCAAAGTTGTTGGTTAAAGGAATTCTTTTAACATTCAGATTCTAAGTACTTCATGTGAAATAAGCTCTGGAGACCTGATGGAGTTCACTTAAAGCTCTTATCTTTTATGTTCTTGGTAGAAGATGGCTGATGGGTCCTAGCAAGCTAAGAGCTTCCTATGCATATACTGTGATCTCAGCACTTGGATTGTAACACAATGGCAAGATAGCAAGTTCCAGGCTGATGCTGGCCTGGGTTGTGAAGTGAGGCTATAACTAGGGAGGAAGTGGGGGAAAGGACTTCAGCCTATTTGGTGCTAATTGCATTTCAATTATGCCCCAGACCTTCTGAAGTAGCACTTGGGGATACACGAGGTTAATGGATTTTAGCTCTTCACAAGGGGCAATGCTTGCTGAAATCATGTTCTTTCTAATTAGGGTTTTATATAAATTCTTCCCCCAGACTCCAACAATTTGCTCTAATTCTGTGACTATGCTTTCCATTTTTATTTATCATTATAAAGATTATTACCCACTTAAAATGTCATTTGGTTTTCTAGGGATATCATGTCAGGGTGCAAGTTTCTTTGTCTTGAGGATTGGATTGAAGAACAATTTTAAGAGGTTAAGGGGATAGATCTTTTACTTGCACTTTTTTCTCCCATTGAGACAAAATTAAAAGGAAGGTCCCTTTTTTCTTGAGAGATGAGAATATTCTAAATGACTCTAGGTCTCCATAATGCCCAGGCCTAAGCAAGTGACTCTTGAGGAACTGGATGTCTTCTTCCCTCTTTCTACTCCCAAATCCCCAAGGAGGACAGCATCAGGGCCAGGAGACAATAACTGGCTGCAGAGAGGTTAAAAGTTGCAGCCATTAATTTGGTCTCTGTTCCCAGCCTGTTTAGAATAGGTCACGAGGAAGTGATGGGGTAAGCGTGCTTCTGGGCTAGAAGCAGTTCCAGATCCTGCAGAGAGCTACTGTGGAATCAGCTCGTCGTCAGGGGAAAGCAGCCCTGGAATGGCTGATTCAGGCTGTAGCCATCAAGAGAAACCCTAGATTTCCTCCCCTTGAATATACTCAGTCTGATCTAATTGGTCAGGATTTGTCAGTGGTTGTAAAGGCAGCATTTGAGGAGGAAAGTAGATCAGTCCAGGTTAGGGACTCTACATGTAAATTTAGGAACAAATACTGGTTATTGAAGCTGATTTTTTTTCCCCCTTTCCTGAAGCATTGCTTCTTATTATGTCTTTTGAACCCGTGCTAGGACTAGTCAACGAGTGATATTCTATACAACTACAGGGAGTCAGACCATTTGATGCCATGAAAATAGATACACACACACTTCTGCTTTTCAGGAATGAATTATGTGTTTATCTGCATATTTTCCTTGTTTTCCTTTCTTTGAGACAGGGTCTCAAACTCACAGTTTTCTTGCCTCTGCTTCCTATGTGTATCACTGTGTCCAACTTATATTGATTTGTTTTAAGATACTGCTGTGGTGTTTTAACAAATAGCAATACATTGAGAAAATTGAGTTTCATGTGGGACATAAAAACTTTTATAAGCAAATTAAATTTTATTCCAGTATTTTGGCCACCAGGTTACTACGCTGTCTTTTCCTGGGCCTCCAGTTGTCCACACTTCATTTATATACAGCATAGAGTAGGGCAGGAAGGTTTCTGTCCTCTGGGAAGTTTGTACTTAGGAGAGAAGTGAAATGAGGAGCAAGCCCAGTAGCCACAGAATATCCTCACTAATGAGTTAGTGGAGACTTGAAAGAATTCTTAGAAAGAAGGGTTTTTATTGTTCTCAGCTTTCCCTCTGATATGTGGGATGTGCTCGGGTTTTTATTTCCTAGGTACTGGAGCGTCCTGCATCTACCCGTTACTTGGAGCAACCCTAAATGGCTGGTACTTTCTGGCGACAGAAGTGGATGATGTGTGCTTCAGTTATGCCACGAAAAACGTGGAGCAGAATAACCTCTCTGGCCTCATTAAAGGTTGGTTCTCAATAAATAGCCCTCATGCTTTGTTCACTAAAACTTCTGTAATTTAAAATGTCTTATTATTACCTTCTGTGGGGTTTTTGTTTGTTTTGAGACAGGGCCTCTCTGTAGCTCTTGCTGCTCTGGAACTCAGTTTGTAGACCAGGTTGAACTTGAACTCACAGAGATCCTCATGCCTCTCCTTTTTTTCTCTTTATTATTATTATTATTTTACTTTATGTTCTTAAGTGGTTTTGATTTTTTTGTTTGTTTTGTTTTTGTTTTTAGAGACAGGGTTTCTCTGTGGCTTTGGAGCCTGTCCTGGAACTAGCTCTTGTAGACCAGGCTGGTCTCGAACTCACAGAGATCTGCCTGCCTCTGCCTCCCAAGTGCTGGGATTAAAGGCGTGCGCCACCACTGCCCGGCTTGATATGTATCTTAATGTACTTTTTTGGTGGGGTGTTTTTTGAGACAGAGTTTCTCTATAGCTATGGTTGTTCTGGAACTTGCTCTGTAGATCAGGCTGGATTTGAACTTGCAGAAATCCACCTGCTCTGCCTCCTGAATGCTGGCACTAAAGGTGTATGCCACTACCTCCTGGCTAATATACTTTATTTTATAGAACTGAAAGATTAAATGCACATCCCCTGCCCTCATATGTAATCAACTTCTTCCATTATTGATTTCCAGTACCGGAGTGGGTTGATTGGTTATAGTCAGTGTACTTTTATTTAACACATTATTATCTTCTAACGTTTATAGTTTAGGACTAGCAAGATGGCTCAGTAGGTAAAAGTGCTTGTTTGCTTTGCACTTCTGGTGGCCCAAGTTTGATCTTGAAATCCATGGTGCAAAGAGAACTGTCTTCTGAAAGTTGTCATCTGGTTGTTGGTATTCTCATGTACACACAGACACGCACGCACACACAGCGAGGGGAGGGCATAAGATGTCTCAGCTGCTAAGGTGGTAGTTGCCAAACGGACAACCTGAGTTTAGTCCCATGACCCCAGAACCCACGATGGAGAGAATTGACCAACTTCTACAAGTTATGATTTCCACATGTGCACACACATAAATGTGGGTTTGTTTTGTTTTAAAAAACGAATGTAAAACCCTAAGTTTATAGTTTAAAACATTTCTTTTTCCTGAGACTTACGGGTCTCCTGGGTGATGGACAAGGACTGAATCCTTGAGCTATATTCCTAGCCTTTACAATTTTTTATTTTATTATTTTATGTGTATAGGTGTTTATGTCTGTGTACCACTTTCTGTGCCTGTGCCCACAGAGGCCAGTAGATCTCCTAAAAGTGGAGTTACAGCTGATTGTAAGCTGCTATATAGCTGCTGAGAACTGAACTGAGATCCTCTGTCAGAGTAACCAGTGCTTTTAACCACCGAGCCATCTCTCCTGCCCCATCTGTATATCTTTTATGGTGAGGTGTTTGTTAAGGTCTTTGACCTGTTTTTCATTGAATTTTCTTTTTGTTTTTGTTTTGTTTTGTTTTGAGACAGAATTTCTCTGTCGCTTTGGAGTCTGTCGTAGAACTAGCTTCCTGAGTGCTGAGGTTAAAAGCGTGCACCACCACACCTGGCTTTAGTGTAGTTTTATTTTAAAATTATATATTAACTTTTTTTTCTTTCTTTTTGAGACAGGGTCTTACTGTTGTAGCTCTGGCTCTTCTGGAAATCACGCTGTAGACCAGGCTGGCCTGGAACTCACAGTGATACACCTGCCTCTGCCTTCCTAGTGCTGGGATTAAAGGCTTGTGCCACTATAGCTGGCATATGTTCTTTGAAAATGTTTTCCTGCAGCCTGTGGCTTTTAATTCTCTTGGCAAAGTCTTTTCCAGGGCAAAATGTTTAATGTGAAATTCAGTGCTTCCTTTTACTTCATGCTCCATGCCTTGGTGTCTTATCTATGAAGTCACTTCCTGGCCAAAGTTGTGTTTTCCTATATGATTTTCTAGGAGTTTTATTATGAGTCTGTGATGTGTTTTGAGTTAATTGGGGTAGGTGGATAAAAAAAACATTCTGGGGATTGAACCCAGGACTTTATAAATGCTAGACAAGTACTTTGCCACTGAACTGTATCCGCAGGCTCACCTTTCGGGTTTTTCAAACTTTTTTTTAATGTGGCTTTTCTCTATAATCTATACTATGTAGTGTAGATTGGCCTGAGACTTGGATCTTTCTGAATAAATCAACTGAGTCTACCTAGATAGAGGTCATGAGTAGATAAGGAAGTCTTCTCCTGCTGGTCTTGGGCAGCTTTTGCTTCCATCCTGTGTTTAGCAATAGTGCAGGCTATAGATGAAAACCTGTGTTCCTCAGCTGGCTCTTATGAGTTCTTAGCCGATCCTCAGCAGCCAGTGTGGCAACTCATAGCCTACAAGACTTGACAGTTCCCTGAAATTCTTCCAGACTAGGGCTTGTGCTTGTTTTCTCTGTCTTTTTTTTTTTTTTTTTTTTTTTCTTGAGACAGAGTTTCTTTGTATTGCTTTAGAGCCCATCCTGGAACTCACTCTTTAGACCAAACTGGCCTAGAACTCACAGAGATTCATCTTTCTGCCTCCCAAGTGCTGGGATTAAAGGCTCTCTCTCTCTCTCTCTCTCTCTCTCTCTCTCTCTCTCTGTCTCTCTCTCTGTCTCTCTCTGTCTCTCTCTCTGTCTCTCTCTCTCTCTCTCTGATTTTTTCTTTTGTTTTGTTTTTGTGATTGTATTTGTGTCCTGGAGACCTTAGTGTGGTAGCAAAGGATTCTAGTTCAGTTTGTAGCACTGACATCGGTTGTAACTGCCAGTAATTCCTGTTCCAGAAAATTGGATGCCTTCTGGCTTCTGCAGGCAACTGGACTGGTACGATGTACATAAATTAATTCATGTACACATACACAGGAAGAGAATAATAAGTCTCTAACAGCACCAACAAAACCCAGGTGTGGTGGTCACACTTTTAATCCCAGCACTTGGGAGGCAGAAACAGGTGGATCTCTGCGAGTTCATCCAGCCTGATCTAGAGAGTGAGCTCTAGTGAAACCTTGTCTCTAATAGTAGGTAGTAGTAGTGGTAAGAACCACACAGTAAGATCTTGTCTGTAATAGTAGCAACAGCAAACAACAACAAATGCTGTTTGGGTTGCTGACTTAAATTTTAGAAAGTTGTTCAAATGAATTTTCACATGTGGTAAGAGTAGAATTTCCAAGAGTTTCTGAGAATCTTTGCCATTTTATGCTATGTATTTTCTGAAAAGTGGTACTTTCAGATTGATAATTATAACATCAAAATATTGATTACCTCTGAAAACATTGAAGATGTTATATGACCCACAGTTTTACATGTACGTTCAAGAGTTTTACATAAAAATAAATAAGCATAGCATAACCATTTCTACTGCAAATTTCCTTTCACTATCAATGAATGGAAAGTTAGATTTATGCCAAATAGTTACTTTATACTTTATGATTTACCAGAAAATGTTTGAGTTTTGTACCTGTGAGTTTTAGACAGGGACTTTTGTGTATGCTGGCCTTGAACTCTGTACCTGGGATGATCTGGCCTTCACCTTCCAGATGCTGGGATTGTAGGTATCTATACCTACGCGTGGTACAGAGGACTGATACTCGAGCTTTGTGTCTGCTGAGCAATCTTGCTGTGAACTGAGCTACACTTCACTACCACTTTAAACTTTTTTTTTTTTTTTTGGTTTTTCGAGACAGGGTTTCTCTGTGGCTTTGGAGCCTGTCCTGGAACTAGCTCTGTAGACCAGGCTGGTCTCGAACTCACAGAGATCCGCCTGCCTCTGCCTCCCAAGTGCTGGGATTAAAGGCGTGCGCCACCATCGCCCGGCTTAAACTTTTTTTTTTTTTTTTTAGTCTCTTTGTATTCCAGGCTGGTCTTAAACTTACTGTGTACCTTCAGATATCCTGTAGTTTAGGGATGATAGACCTGGACAGTCATGCCCACTTACATATCTGTTTTAATGACCTGTAAACCCAGAATCACACAAATATTTCTCAGGTGCTGGGCAGTGGTGGCCCATGCCTATAATCCCAAAACTTGGGAGGCAGAAGCAGGTGGATATCTGTGAGTTTGAAGCCAGCCTGGTCTATAGAGGGGATTCCAGGACAGCCAGGGCTGTTATCCAGAGAAACCCTGTCTAGACAAACCAACAAAGCAAAAAAAGAAATCTCAGGCAAAGGGGATCTTGTGCTGAAACTTTAAGAAGCTCTGGTCTAGATTTTGTCAAGGCTGGTGATAACACAGTGTAAGTCTCCTCTCTGCCTGCGGCTGTGCCTTCAGAGATGAGGCAACTACTAAATGACAGTTGTATAGTTTTCTTACTGCGTCTATGGGATTCAGGATGGCTGGTGCTGACTAAGTCCTTTTGTTCAGAGCAACTGGTTGTTTGCTGGAAAATGAACTTCAGGAGGAGTACTTACACTATAAATTTAAGGTGCCTGGTAGCATAGGATATCTTTAGCTACTTGGGAGACTGATGTATGAGGATGTAAAACCTAAGGTTCACCTTGTCTACAAAGCAAGTTCAACACCAGTCTGTACACTTAGTGAGAATCTGCCCCAAAATAAAAAATATCAAAAAGGATTTAGTTCATTGGTGTTGCATTTGCCTCATATTTGTTGGTTCAACTTGTAGTACTGCAAAAGCAGGTAGAAACGTCAAGGACTTGTTAGCACTAAGAAGAGTTTTGAGCCATGCTGTAACAGTTTGTCACACTTGCCCAGTGTACTAATGAAATAGTTCCCTTTCTATTCTCCTCAGTCCTCTGAGTAGGGATTGCAGTGTGAGCGCTACCTAAACTTTAGAATAAGCTTAGTAATAGCCAAAATTTAAAATTTAAAAGTCTTTTTCGTTTGTTTGCCTTTTGTTTTAGTTTGTCCTTGCATTGATTCACTTGTGTGTTAGGGAGGGCGGGTACACAGCTGAAACACATGTGTAGATGTCGGAGTAGGAGTGGGTTCTCTCTTTCTGCCGTAGCGATGGGTGAGTCCCCCGGGTTGTATTTCCATCTGAGGTGAACAAAGTTGTAATCTGCCTTTGTGGTGGTTTTATTGTGGATAGATAATGCTTTTGCTTTCTGGTGCTACATTCATTTAGTGCATTTTTATGCTGTTTCTTAGGGACTTTGCTATTTCAAATGATCCCAAACAGTGCTAAAGTGTCTTGTGTTTGTATGTGCCATAGAGAAAATACATTTTGCTTAGACAAGTTATAGTGAGTCAGCAATATATATTTTTTAAATTTTAATTTAAGAAATTGTGTATAGCAGGTGGTGGTGCCCCTTCCTTTAATCCCAGCACTCGTGAGGCATAGTGGCAGGCGGATCTCTGTGAGTTTGAGGCCATTCTGGTCTACAAGAGCTAGTTTCAGGACAGGCCCCAAAACTACAGAGAAACCCTGTCTTGAAAAACCAAAACAAACAAACAAACAAATAAATAAAATTGCGTATGTATCGCTATTTAACCTGTATGTATGTCTCCACACCACATGTGTGCCTAGTGCCCAGGAGACTAGAAGATGGAGTCAAGATATCCTGAAACTGGAGTTACAGACAATAGTGCACCAACATGTGGGTGCTGGGAATGGAACCTTAGTCCTGCGAAAGCAGCCAGTGCTCCTAACTGCCGAGCTGTCTTTCTAGTCACTCCCTCCCACCCCTGTCCCACACTCCTTTTTTGAGACAGGGTCTCACTAGGTAGCCCTAGCTGGCCTGGAAATCTCTTTGTAGACCAGGCTAGTTTCAAACTCATAGAGATCTGTTTTATCTGGCTCCTGAGTGTTAGAATTAAAGGCTTGTGCCCGTACACCTCACCAGCAGTGTATATTAAATGAATTATCTAAGTCAAAACAGACTGAAGATGAGGTTATGTATTTCAGGCTTTCAGAAACTGAAGTAGCACTGTACTCTCCAAAGGTGTTTGTATTTGTATTACAAATACAAATAGATTAAAGTTACCATGAATAAAAAGTAATGGGCATTTCTTTATTTTTCTGATTTATTTGCTTATTTTGAATCCCAACTGCAGGCTCTCCTTCCTCCAAAAAATAGGTATTTGTGAAGTAGCTTAGTTTTTTGTTTGTGAGCAGGTACTTGTGTGCATGTGTCTTTGGAAGCGTCCCAAAGTCTGCATCAGGGTATTCTTCAACCACTTTCTACTTTATTATTTAAAAATTAAAAAAAAATACTTTATGTGTATGAGTATTGTCTCTGCTTATGTCTCTGTGTACCACATGTGTGCAGTGCCTTCGGTCTGCCTATGTCTCTGTGTACCACCATATGTGTGGTACACATATGCACTGTGTGTGCACAGTGCCTTCAGAGGCCAGAAGGCCCCTGGGACTGAAGTTAGTGGTTGTTAGCTGCCTGTGGTGATTGGAATAGAAGACGTGTTCTCTGAAAGAACAGCTAATGTTCTTAACCATTAAGCCATCCATGCAGCTCCTTCACTGTGTTTTTTGAGACAGGGTCTTACACTGAACCTGGAGCTCAGTGATTCAGCTAGACTGCCTGGCCTGTAAGCCCCAGATACCCTCTATCTCTGCCACCCCATCATTGAGGTTACAGGGTGTGCTGCCATGTCCAGCTTTTATGTGGGTGCTAAGGATCAAGTCCTTGTGTTTGTGTGGCGGGCATTTTACTGACCCAGCCAAATCCTAAGCACTGATATTTTTAAGGGGGAAGCACCAATCATTAACTGTACTTTTATTTTAAAAATATATAAGGTTGCCGGGCAATGGTGGCGCACGCCTTTAATCCCAGCACTCGGGAGGCAGAGGTAGGCGGATCTCTGTGAGTTCGAGACCAGCCTGGTCTACAGAGCTAGTTCCAGGACAGGCTCCAAAGCCACAGAGAAACCCTGTCTCGAAAAACCAAAAAAAAATATATATATATATATATATATAAGGTTAGTTGGGTTGTAGTGTTGCACTCTTTTAATACTTGGACTAGGGAGGCAGAGGTAAGTGGAAATCTGAGTTCGAGTCTGGTCTACATAGTGAGACTGTCTCAGAAAAAAACAAAAATTAAAAAAAAAAAGTAATACAGGCTGTTCTTGATTTCTCTATCCTGCTTCTGCTTCCCAGATGCTCAGATTATAGGCTTGGACAATGACTCCCTGCTAAATTATCTTAATTTTAGTATATAGATATTTGCTAGTACTAGGCCAGCTCTACCTTGTGATCATTCATTTACATTTTATGACCATTACATGTTGACACAGTTTTAAATTTTTGGAAGATTTATTTTATGTGAATAAATGTTTTGCCTACATATAAGTCTGTGCAGTACATGTAAGCCTGGTGCCTTCAGATGTCAGAAGAATGTGTTGGCTCTTTTGGAACTGGAGTTCCAGATGATTATGAAGCACCAAGTGGGTACAGGGAACTGAACATGGGTCCCAGAAGAGAAACAAGTATTCTTACCCACTCTCCAGCTCCTTTTTAATTTTTAATTATAATTGATTTAGTTTTCAGCCAAATGAATATAAATTTATTACAGAAGAGTGAGAATTCTCAAGAATAGGGGGAGTTTTAGGGGAGAAACCTTTTGTTTTATTAAGCAGATTGTATTATGCATCTTCATAAAAGAAATAACACTTCCTAGTAGTGTTAACACATTGCTAAGGGGAGCATTGATATGGCTAATGCAGCAGATTGATTCTCCATTTCTGCCTCTTGCTGGGAGTGGTGGGAAGGAATTTATATTCACATGCTTGCCTTCATTTTCCTCCTCAGTTGTGTATTGTTTTGTGCACTTATTTTAAAACCTTGACAAAATAAATAGTAACTAACAGTCCCTGCTCTCTTCCTCAGTGGTAAAAGTGCCACAGAAGACACTCTTAATGGATGCGCTTAAAGAAGAGTCTGAGATCATCTATGATTTCTGCATGTGCAACCCTCCCTTTTTTGCTAACGAGTTGGAAGCCCAGGTAAAGCTCCTTTAAAGTCATCAATCACTTAGTAATTTTACCTCATTTGCAGAGATACAAGCAAAAGGCAGTTTTTCTTTAGAGTTAGTATAATTTAGAATGTTGATTTTTAGTATAATTTAGAATGTTGATTGTTTTAAGGTGAACCCAGTACAGATGGACTTCACAGTTAAAATATTTAATTTATGTAGCGGAAAAGACCAGTTACTCATACTTCAGGAACAGTTTGATTGAGGAGTTCATAATAATAAAAAGCTGAGGCTCTTTATTTCTTCTTTCCCCTTGACTCTGGCCTGGCTCTCTGCTGTCTTTTCTTAGGCTTGTTTGGTTGTAGTTAAGCAATACTTAGTGGGAGAGGGTGAAAAGAGAGCTCTTTCTTCCCTACACTCTGAACTTAAAAGCAGTTTTAAAATGTAAATGTATTATGTATTCTATGTGTATGACTGTTTTGCCTTCGTGAATGTTGGTGCACCACATTTGTGCCTAGTACCTTCAGAGGCCAGCCCCTGGGTCATATGGTTGTGAGCCATCATGTGTGTGTTGGGATTAGAACCCAGTCCTCTGGAACAACATTCAGTGTTCTTAACCACTGAGCCATTTCTTCAACCTCCATACTTTGAACTTTTAAAATTGAACCAAGGTAGGTCCCATTTTCTACTGGACTGAGCTTATCAACCTAGGGACAAAAAATTACTGCTTTTTGTCATTTGGTAGTAAATAGATGACTAAATAGTGAAACAAATGTATTAACTTTTAGACATTGAACAATATTGGATAAAATGAACTAGTATGTGGAAGCCTGTAGTTCCTAGTACATGGGAGACTGAGGCAGGAGGATTGCAAGTCCCAGACTAGTCTGAATTTAGAATAAGTTTAAACTTGTTTAAAGCACCGTAGTGAGACCCTACCTATCTCAGAATTTCAAAAAGAGGGCTAGAAATAAATCTCTGTGGTAGAGTGTTGGCATGGTATGTGAAAGGCCATAGCTTCAAACCTTAGCGCTGTAACAACCAAAACATACTATATTGAAAAATTCAGCCAGGCAGTGGTAGTTGCACGCCTTTAAAATCAGCATTCTAGAGGCACATACAGGTGGATTTCTAGGTTCAAAGTCAACCTGGTCTACAGAGTGAGTTCCAGGACAACCAGAACTACACAGAGAAACCCTGTCTCACAGAGAAACCCTGTCTCATGAAAACAAAAACAAATAAACAATTTTTTTTATAGGGCCTGGAGAGATGGCTCAGCAGTTAAAGAGCACTTACTGTTCTTACAGAGGACCTACATGCAGCTCATAACCTATCTGTAACTTCATTTCCAGGGAATCTGACCCTGCCTTCTGGGCTCCTTGGGGACCAGTAGTATACATACATGCATGTAAACAAACATTCATACCATAAACTGTTAAAAATTACTATTTATTATTATTGTTGTTATTATTATTATTATTTTAGACAAGGTCTCACCATGTAGGCTGGCCTGGAACTTATAGAAGCTTCTTCCTCTCAAGTACTGGGATTAAAGGTGTGCACCATCAGCCGGGCGGTGGTGGCGCATGCCTTTAATCCCAGCACTCGGGAGGCAGAGGCAGGCGGATCTCTGTGAGTTCGAGGCCAGCCTGGTCTACAAGAGCTAGTTCCAGGACAGGAACCAAAAGCTACGGAGAAACCCTGTCTCGAAAAATCAAAAAAAAAAAAAAAGGTGTGCACCATCATGCTCAACTAAAAAAATAAATAAATCTTCAAAAAGATTTTTTTTTGACAAAGTGGGGGAATTGAGGTAGAAGTTTATTAGAAATAATAATAATATTCCTGATTAGAAAATAAAGTGGAGTGCATTTAAAATAATTAAAAATTTAACTTTTTTGTAAGTTTGTGAAGAAAAGTAACCATACACTGCAATAAAATTTATTAAAAGTGTTGTTTCTCTACATCCAAAGAATGTAGATAGGGGCTTAGGAAGACTTGATGGCATAGTATTAAGAGTAGCTGATGCTCTTACTGCTCAGCATTTTTCCAGCCCCCTAAATACCTTCTTATTTTACTCTCTCTTTAAATTTGAGATGGTGGTTAATAAGTTGCCTCTCTCTGGTATGCCAGACAGTTTTCTACATTGACAACTGCTCATTTTCCAGCCACAGAATGTGTAGCTTTGGTGTGCCACCCCTGTGGGTGGAGAGTGGCGTTTCCTGATGGCCGACTGTGTTGAGCATCTTTTCTTGTGCTTAGTGGCCGTTCGTTCATGCTCCATGGTATAGCGCCATTCAGATACCTCCTCACGTACCTGCTTCCACTGTGAAGGCTCTTGCTAAACTCTCTACACTGAGCTGATCTGCAGCCCTGTACTCTTGACCCACTGTTTGTTTTGCAATAAAAATGGTTTTTGAACCTTGGAGAATGCACACGCTGGGCAAGCACTGTGAGAGGCTAAGCTATGTCCCTACCCTCCCTCCTCTTTGTCAATTTTATTTTATTTTATTTTATTTTTAAGATTTATTTATTATGTATACAACATTCTGCCTCGATGTATTCCCGCACGCCAGAGGAGGGCACCAGATTTCATTACAGATGGTTGGGAGCCAACATGTGGTTGCTGGGAATTGAACTCAGGACCTCTGGAAGAGCAGCCAGTGCTCTTAACCTTTGAGCCATCTCTCCAGCCCTCTTTGTCAATTTTAAAATTGGGTTACTTTTCTTCCTTTATACATTCTAGATCCAAGTCCCTTTAATTACAGTGATTTGTAGACAGTTTTCTATATTCTTTCTTTCCTTCTTTATTTATTTATTTATTTATTTATTTATTTTTGTTTTTCAAGACAGGGTTTCTCTGTAGCTTTGGAGCCTGTCCTGGAACTAGCTCTTGTAGACCAGGCTGGTCTCGAACTCACAGAGATCCGCCTGCTTCTGCCTCCCAAGTGCTGGGATTAAAGGTGTGCGCCACCACCGCCCGGACTTTTATATTCTTTAGTTTGTCTTCAATTTTTGATGGTATCCTTTACAGTGAAGCTGATTTTAGTTTTGATGAAATACAATTTATCTATTTTGTGTTGTTATTATGCTTTTTGGTGTTGTATCTAAGAAACCAATGGCTAATCCAAGTTAATGAAAATTTACTTTTACGTTTTCTTCTTGAGAGTTTTATCTCTTTTTTTTATATAATTTAGTTAACTTTATTTTATGTGGATTGGTGTGAAGGTATCAGATCCCCAGAAACTGGAGTTACAAACAGTTGTTAGCTGTCATGTGGGTGTTGGGAATTGAACCCAGGTCCTCTGGAAGACAGCCAGTGCTCTTAACCGCTGAGCCATCTCTCCAGCCCCCTCATTTTACCTCTTATATTTATGTCATTGATTCATTGAGTTAATTTTTCATATGAAATGAGGTAAGGATGGATTAAATACTTAAATATAGAAAACATAACTATAGGGGCTGGAGAGATGGCTCAGTGGTTAAGAGCATTGCCTGCTCTTCCAAAGGTTCTGAGTTCAATTCCCAGCAACCACATGGTGGCTCACAACCATCTGTAATGAGGTCTGGTGCCCTCTTCTGGCCTGCAGACATACACACGGACAGACTATTGTATACATAACTAATAAATAAATAAATATTAAAAAAAAGAAAACATAACTATAAAAGTATTAGAAGAAAACATAAGTAAATATTGATTTAATCTTTGGGTAAATTTTACCTGGCCATGGTATCAAGACAATGCAAAAAGGAAAAGCAACAGATTGGGCTATATAAAAGGTAAATGTTTTTATATTTAATCCCCAGGGCCTCATGCATGCTAGGCAGATGGTTTATCACCAGACTACAACCCCAGCTGGCTGTGTGATCTCTTAAATCTTCAGTGTAGCACAATAATAGCTAAATTACATTCAAAGACCATGGCTTTTGTTGTTGTTTTTGTTCAGGGTGTAAACTCTCGGAATTCTCGAAGACCTCCACCTAGTTCCGTAAATACAGGAGGCATCACGGAAATCATGGCAGAAGGAGGTGAACTAGAATTTGTTAAAAGGATAATCCATGACAGTTTAAAACTTAAAAAAAGATTACGGTGAGTATGATTATTTGTCTCATGTAATCCTAAAGAAACTATGTCACTTTAAGGAAGAATAATCACTGGGACTGCAAAATAAGTAGATAATGTCCAAAAGACTACACAGATAAAGGGGAGGGAAAATCCCAGGTGATTGCATTGCTCCCATTAGTGTGGTCCTGTGATGGAACGAAACTGACTCAAATATGGCTTTTGATTAGAAAACAGATGGGTTTGAATCTGTCCCATGAACCAGAATCAATTTGTTGCCTAGTCCTTGAAGCAATTGAGGTTCTTGGACTCAGTTTCCTAAACAGTGACAGATGTGAGGACATTGAGCTGTCAGGAATTTAATGAAGGGAAACAGACCAGAGATGGGTTAGGGCTGTTCTGTTTCCAAAGCTAATTATTTTGGACAACACACCTGTCATTAAGCAGTGTTAGGTACTCAGAGCGACTTGTCTCATGTCACTTTGCACCTGCCGCATGTTGTCAGTGTGGTGGGGAATGTGCTAGCTGATAGCTAAAAGGAGCTCCATCCTAGGATTTAGTTTCGTGAAACAGGGAAAGCATTTGTTTTTATTTATTTATTTCTGTGTGTGGTAAAAACAAAATTTACCCTCCAGTATCTTTAAGTTTTATTGAGGGAAGAGTGCATGTTGTGGGGAGAGGATTCAAGGCCTCACCTTGGCAGGTGCACACCCAACACTAAGCTACATCTTGTCTTCATAATAGCAAATCTTTTTTTTCTTTTTTCTTTCTTTTTTTTTTGTGGTTAGGGTTGTTTTGCCTGCACCTGGATGGTTGTGTAACACGTGAGTATGTGGTGCCTGAGGAGGATAGAAAAGGATGTTGGATCTCTTGGAGTAGAGTCACAAATGGTTGTGAGTCTTCGTGTGGGTGCAGGGGAACGGACCCTGGTTCTCTGGAAGAACAGCCAGGGTGCTTAAATACTGTACTATCAAATTAGCAAGTTTTAAAGTCTTTAGTTGAGTAGTGTTAAAGATATTAATGCAACTAATCTCCAGCGCTCTTAGTATTTTTGTTTTGAAACAGTGTCTGTCTACATGGCTCTGGCTATCCTGGAACTCTGTAGTACAGGCCTGTCTCAATCAAACTCACAGAGATCCACCTGCCTCTACCACCCAAAAGCTGTGATCAGAGTCATGCACTGCCACACAGGGCCAGAACTCTTGGCTTTCAAAAGCTACGCCTGTTAAACAGCTCCACGTTGTCTCTCGCAGCCCCAGCCACTGTCTGTGTCTTTGGATTTGAGTACCACATCTATGTAAAGTCATGCAGTAGTTGTCCTTTGTGGTAGTCTTAGTTCATGTAGCATAATGTTTTCATGTTTATCCATCTTGTGACATTTTCTTCCTTTTGAAAAAAAGGCAAATATTTTGCTGTTTGGGGTTTCTTTATTGTTGTTGTTGTTCTGTTTTTGTTTGTAACAAGGTCTTGATACAAATCCTGACTGGTACTTTTTGTGTAGCTCAGACTGGCCTGACTTGTGGTGTTTTCTGTTTCTGCCTCCTAGGATTATTGATGTAAATCACCATAACCTCTTTTACTATTCCATTACATGTATAATCACATTCTGTTTATTCTTTCATCTCATGGCAGTTTGTGTTGCTTTTAAAATTCCTTTGGCTCTTTGAATGTGAAGTAGTATGAGCATGGGTGTATAAATACCTTTTCAAAATCCCGTTTTAAATTCTCCTGTTTACCCAGAGGTGGAACTTCAAGGCAGAGAATAAATTTTTTTTCCCTTTTCTATTTGTTTCTAAAGCTGCTTATTTTAGCCAGGTACAAGGGTATGCCTGTGATCATAGCACTTACATAAGCTTGCAGGCAGACTTTTTCTTTAAAAATGATGCTTAATTTAGTAAATTCCACATCAACAAGTATTCTGATTTGGTAGTAAGAACTTGTTTAAGAGCTATGGAAACTGTAGAGATGGTTCAGCGGTTAAGGGCACTTAGCTGTGGAATAATGAGGGCTAGAGTTCTTGTCCCAGATCCCACATAAAAAACTGGGCATTTAGGCCACACCTGCAATCCCAGCTAAAAGGGATGTAGAGAGAAAGGTCACAGTGACTTCCTGGCTTATAGCCTAGCAAGAAAACACCTGCCCCCTAGATCAGGAAGAGAGCCTACTTCAAAGGAATAGGTAGCGTATGGTAGAGGACACCTGGTACCCTCTTCTGGCTTCTTCATATGTACATAGGAACCCAGCCACCCAGACTCACATGAGTAAATCTTGAAAAACCAAACAAAAAAGAGAAATATAGCTTGATTATTGAGTGATCTGCCTCTCGGAAAAGTTAAACATTACAGAAGTCCTTTAGCTTAAGATTAATATATTTTGCTTCAATTGATTTCTTCAGAGACACATTAGAGTATATTTAAGGAGAAAACAGCTTGGGCTAAACCGAGCCTTAGGTAATGTCTAAAGAAGTAAATCTAAAGAAAGTCAATAGAACATTGATTGAAGAAGAAATAGGTTTATGACCATCATATGCTAGCTTCTTTTTTTTGTTTTTGTTTTGTGTTTTGGATAGTTTCGTTTATGTAGCATTGGCTGACCTGGAATTCGCTATCTAGACTGGGAGTTGAGAAATGTACCACCATGCCTGACTATGTGTTGACTTTTGGGGGGACTGGGCCAACCAGCAAAATGGGAGAAGCAGTAGATGGTTCTCTTAGACTACAGTTTAGTAGGAATGGGGCTATTTATTTTTTAGGGGACTTTTAAATTATAGATTTATGTCCAATGAGTCTTCATCTGAACTACAAAAACAAGTTTAAGGTGGTGGCTTACCAGGTCGCAGACATGCAGTTTCTGAATTCTCCTTCTCTGTGATATTGGTTAAACTAATGAAATTGTTCTTGAAGGTTGTTTGTTTGTTTGCTTTTTAAAGTTTAGAAGGAACGTTCTAAGGAATGGAGAGCTATTTAGTGTATTCCAGGTCTGCTTATACCTGACTGTGTTGCAGCCTCAAAGTTGACTAAGAGGTGTAAGTTGACTGAGGAACTGTCGTGCCGCTGGACGGTTGTCCATCTGGGGAAATGTGCTCACTGTGAGCTGCTGTGGGAAGTAGTCATCTGTCTGCCTAGGTCATCGTCATGTTTGTACCACTAATGACTCCACTTTTAGACTCTTGTGTATGGTGTATATTCTGAGATGCTACAAAAATAAAAGATTAAAAGCAAGTATTTTAGCTATTTGTGTGGTACATTCCTTGTAATCCCAGCATTTGGGAAGTAGAGGCAAGAGGGTCGTGGGTTCAAGGTCAGTCTTGGCTACCTGAAACCCTGTCTCAGAGGGGTAGGGGAGGGAAAACAAAAATCTCCAAGCATCCCTACTATTTGCTGCTTTTATCCATCTAAAATATTTTTTCTTGGGTTGGAGAAATGGTTTAGTGGTTAGAGCAGTTGTTCCCCTTTTAGAGGACTCAGGATCAGTTCCCAGCATTCACCTCGTGGCTCATAACCACCTGCAACTCCAATTCCAGAGTCCCCAAAGGCGGCTTCTTCTTCTTTTTTTATTTTAATTTTTTTTTTTTTTTAATTTTCTTCGAAGCTGAGGACCAAACCCAGGGCCTTGTGCTTGCTAGGCAAGCGCTCTACCACTGAGCTAAAGCCTTCTTCTTACCTCAGAAGGCGTTGTGCATGCACATGATGCACACAGTATACATGCAAACAAAACACCCATACACATAAAAGAAATCTTTTAAAATTTAAACATTTTTTTCTTCTTGCTCCTGAAGTCCCACAGAAAGCCAGAGGCTCAAGTCATGCTCAGTAACAGCTTAGTTACTGGATTTTGGTTAGCAGCTGACAGAAGCTTGAAGGGTAAAATTGTACAACTTCATTTCACTTATAAGGCAGACTTAGCGACTTAAAAAGTATAATCTCAGACTTCCACTATCTCAGTGGTCTATACTGCAGATTCATTTATAAGTAGACCACAGTTGTACCATGTAGCCATCCTATGCTACTTGAGATTGCAGGGGGGGAATGAAAAAGTTTATTTTTAGCCGTGACAATTTAGAATTTATGTCAGTTTAAATGATGAAGTTTTGAGATGAAACAGACCCGTCATCTGCTCTGGTGACTGGAGGCCTTTGTTCTAGCAGTCTATTTATAGGCAGTAAGGTGTTGGGCTCATAGCCATTTTCACCCCAAGCTTCTGCTCGTAACTTGCTTTTCTGCATTACAACTTAAATTTAAAAATTGGCTTAAAGACATTTCTAACTAACCTTTCCCCACTGAAATGAGCCAAAGTTCCTCAAATTCCTTATTGTTGAGTTTCCATTGTGATCTTTCAAATAATTGTTTACAGAGCTGGGTCAAAATAAATACTGAGGCTACAATATCTCATTTTGCAAGAATATGTACCCCAAATGACATATCAGGACATAGGACCTAATTCAAGCCCAATTGGAGGCAATTCAAGTAAAAAATGTTTTTACAAAGTAGGATTCTAATGACTAAATCTATAAATAAGTACATTAGAAAGATCTTTGTGGTTTTTTTTTTTTTTTGGATTTTTTCGAGACAGGGTTTCTTCGTAGCTTTTGATACCTGTCCTGGAACTAGCTCTTGTAGAGCAGGCTGGCCTCGAACTCACAGAGATCCACCTGCCTCTGCCTCCCGAGTGCTGGGATTAAAGGCGTGTGCCACCACCACCCGGTTTAGAAAGATCATTTTGCAGTTGTCATAGTAATAATTGATCTGTGGGGAAAATCAGTGGGAAATTTGAACAGATATTGGCTGGGCTGTAACTTAGTGATACACTGGGTTTGATCTCATTGGAAAACGGCAAGAACAGGGCATTTATATAGTTTCAGAGCATCTCTCCTTAGAGTAGCGACTTTCAAAGAGGACTGTGGGAATTTAAAGTGGAGAACCCAGGAGGACTGCTCCCACTCCGTGAGCTCCTGATCTGACTGGTGTTTGTAGGATACAGGAGATCCTCTGTGTCTGTCACTTCAAAAATAGGTACTCAGAATCTAACTCACATCCTGACATGAAAGTAAAAGATGATTCAGGAACAATTCCAGACTGAGGAGACAAAGAGGACAGGACAGGGAAATTAGTATAGTTGTGAATGTGGATTGTATTTCAGTCCATATTGTAATACCATGGGAACATTACATTTCCCCAGTTTTAGTAATTGTTAAGTGTTGTTACCAAAAGGAAGGTTTCTGGGTTTTTTTGTTTGTTTGTTTTTAGCTTTTCCAGGCAGGGTTTAACAGCCTTAGCTATCCTTGAACTTGCTCTGTAGGCTGTTCTCAAATTCACAGAGACTCACCTGCCTTTGCCTCTCAAATGCTGGGATTAAAGATGTGTGCCATGGGGGCTGGAGAGATGGCTCAGAGGTTAAAGAGCATTGCCTGCTCTTCCAAAGGTCCTGAGTTCAATTCCCAGGAACCACATGGTGGCTCACAACCATCTGTAATGGGGTCTGGTACCCTCTTCTGGCCTGCAGGCATACATACATACAGAATATTGTATACATAATAAATAAATAAATAAATAAATATTTTTTTAAAAGATGAAAAAATGAAGATGTGCGCCACCATTGCCCAGCTAAAATGAAGATTCTTGTTTGTAAAGTGTACATGCCAAGATATTAGGGTTCAGGAATGTTTCATAGCTACCTCCCAAATAGTTTAGAAAGCATGCGGAACCAAACACATGGGGAACTTGTTAATTGGCAGATCTGGGTGAAGGGTATAGGAGAGTTGTTTTTATTAATCTTGTAATTCTTACAGGCCAGAAATTATTTCAAAATAATTTTTCTTGAAGCTTAGCATCTCTGAGGGATTTTGAAATGCTGTAATGAATAGAGTACCACTTTCATGATTAAAATGCTGTAATGGGTTCACTGTCTCTTGGGTAACTGATCTTCCTTTGTTCCTTTTTGTTCTACTTGCATTTTGATTAGTTGGCACAGGGTATCTCTTGAGATCACAGCCAGCATTTAGTGCTTAGGCACGTGAACATAGTAAGCTAGAAACAAGATGGGGTGGTTTTGTCTTTGAGACAGTTTTTTTTTTTTTTTTTTTGGTTTTTCGAGACAGGGTTTCTCTGTGGTTTTTGGAGCCTGTCCTGGAACTAGCTCTTGTAGACCAGGCTGGCCTCGAACTCACAAAGATCCACCTGCCTCTGCCTCCCAAGTGCTGGGATTAAAGGCGTGCGCCACCACCGCCCGGCCCTTTGAGACAGTTTTTATGTGTCAGACTAGCCTTTGAAATCAGTGTTTAGTGGAGGATTACTTTTAATTTCTGATCCTTCTACTTCTACCTCCCACAGGTATGCACTCTTTTATCCAGGGCTTTGTGCGTGCTAGGCAAGAACTTCTCCCATTCCCCGTTTTTGATATATTGTCATATAGTCCAATATGGGTTTGAGACTATCTTGACTCTGGTGCTCCCATTCCTGAGTGCTGGGGTTATAGGTTTGCATTACCATACTCAACCTGTACATTTTTAAATGTACTTAGCAATAAGTACTTTGGTGAGAAAGTTTTAGTATGAATTTGGTCCCTCCTCCTCCTCCTCCTTCCCCCACCTCTCTCCCATGAAGATAGGGTTTCTCTTTGTAGCTCTGACTGTCCTGGAACTCACTTTATAGACCCAGCTGGCTTCAAACTCACAGAGATCCGCCTGCCTTTGCCTCCCTTTTGCTGGAACTAAAGGCATGCATCACTACTGCCTGGCTGAATTTGGTTTCTTTAATTGATAATTTAATACAAGAACTATTTGAGTTCATACTTCTGGTGTTTCAAGGAATTTGTTTTATCTAGTGGTGAGGTTCTATAGTAAGAGTTGTTTATAAATAATTTTTTCTTGGGGCTAAGGGATGTGGGTAAATTGGTAGAATACATGCATGAATCTCTGGGTTCAGTCCTCAGCCCATAGCACTGAATAGACTCAGCATGGTGGTACATACTTGTAATCCTAACACTGAAGTGGGGGTGAAGTGGAGGCTGGAGGCAAGAAGATCAGAAGTTCAAGGTCAGCCTGGGCTGCACAGAAAGTTGGAGACTAGCTTGAACCTAGATGAGTTTTTTTTTCTTAATTTGCTTTGCCGATCCTAACTGCTTCATCTTCTCGGCTCTCACCTGTCCTGAAGCTGGGAAGACACTTAGTGCATAATACACTGACAGCTGTAGGACTCTCTTCCTGCAGTTCGTTCATTCTTCTTTCATTTTTTTAGACAGTTTCAAGAATTTCAACATTAGAAGACAGTTCCCATGCTAACTAATCTTTGATTGACTGACAACAATCTGATATCTCTTTTTACATCTCAAGTTATTTAGAATAATCAGAAGAAATGACTTAGATCACTTTTACCCTTCAACCAGTTCACCTCATATTCTTTTCATTTCTTCAGAGCAGTTCCCTATGTAGCCCTGACCATCCTGGAACTTAGTCTGTTGACCAGGCAGACCTCGGACTCACAGAGAGCCACTTGTCTCTGCCTTCCAGATTAAAGGCATAAGCCACCTCTGCCTGGCATAGAGCAGTTCACAGCACAAGTTCAGGCAGGATCCTGTCAATTTTTCCAAGACAGGGTTTCTATATGTATCTTTGAAGCCTGTCATGGAACTTGCTCTGTAGACCATACTGTTCTTGAACTCACAGAGATTTGCCTCCAAGTGCTAGAATTAAAGGCGTGAGCCACCACCTCCTGATGATTCTATGTGGGTTTTTTTTGTTTGTTTGTTTTTAAAAATGTAGTGCTGAGGGTATTTATATGCCTTTTTTTGTTATTTTTCAAAGATTTATTTATTTTTGCTTTGAATATTTTCTTGTTTGTATGTATGTACACCCTGTTTGTACAACTCCTGTGGAGGCCAGAAGAGAAAGTCAGAGCCCTTGGAATGGGAGTTAGGGGTGTTATGAGCTACCATTTGAGCTCGGAAACGGAACCTGAGTTCCCCTGTAAGACCAGCAAGTACTCTAAAACCATCTTTGCAGGCCCTACCTTTTTGCTGTTGGCTAATGCCTGTTCTAAAACTAAAGTGGCCTTCACATTCTGTGTATGATAGATAGGTCTTATCCTCTTTGATCTCTTTCCAAATTTGTACAGTTTTAAGCACTAGGAAACTAAGTGATTTATTTATTTGCTTTTTTTTCTTTCTCTCTTTTTTTCTTTTTCTTTTAATAACTAAGTCTCATTATGTAGCTCTGACTGGTCTGGAACTTATTATGTAGGCCAGGCTGTTCTTAAACTCACAGACATCTTCCTGCATCTGCCTCCTGAGTGCTGGGATTAAAGGCATGTGTCACCACTGCCTAGCAGATTTTTTTTTAATTAAATTTTTAAAAAATTACTTGTGCATGTTTATGTGGTACCATCGTGAGGTTGTAGAAGTCAGAGAACAGCTTCCATGGGCTCTAGTTATTGAACTCAGGCCTTCATTTTCTGAACTGTTTTGTCAGCCCAGATTATTATTTAGGTTGTCTTGGGTTCCTTTTTTCCATTATGTGATTTAGTGTTTGCTTGATTTGTGCAGCTTTGTTATTGTTACTTGTAACTTAATATTTGTTTGCTTATGTTCTCGTGAGTGATGCTTATAATCACTCTTCATTTGTCTCGTGTTTTCCAAGGTGGTACAGCTGTATGCTGGGGAAGAAATGCAGTCTGGCCCCTCTGAAGGAAGAGCTCAGAACCCAAGGGGTAAGCTTTGTCACTGCCATTCAGGTGTGTCTTCTGAGGGTGTAGTCTGAGTAGGGCAGCTTTCTTTATACCATAAAGCTAATTGTGATTTTAAGTTTTTTTTTTAAACATGTATTTATGTTGTGTGTATTAATGTTTTGTCTGCAGATGTATGGGTGCCCACAAAGGTCAGGAGAAGTCAGATCCTTTTCTGGAGTTATGAATGGTCGTAATCCAACATGTGGATTCTGGGAACCATGCTAGGTCTTTTGCGAGAGTGAGAATTGCTCTTAATTGCTGAGCCATCTCCAGTCCAATATTTCTTGTTACAGTTATTAAAAACTACAAAGTAGATCGGGTGGTGGTGGTGCATGCCTTTAATCCTAGCGTTTGGGAGGCAGAGAAAGGTGGATCTCTGTGAGTTCGAGGCTAGCCTGGTCTACAGAGTTCCAGGACAGACTCCAAAAGTACACAGAGAAACCCTGTCTTGAAAAAACAACAACAAAAAACCCCTATAAAGTAGTTCTTTTTTCTTTATTGAAATCTGATATATGGCCAGCTGCTTACTTTTTGGTTGGCTCTTCTACTTAAAGAAGTAAACAAAAACTGAAGGTGGTACATGCCTTTAATCCCCACACTCAGGAGGCAGAAGCAGGTAGTTTGACTTTGAGACCAGCCTGGTCTTCATAACAAGTTCAAGGTAAGCCAGGGCTACCTAGTGAGACCCTGTCTCAAAACAGCAGTAAATAGAGCCTTAGGAGCTGTGAGTGCTTGTCTGGCATGCCTGAGGCCCTGCATTCAGCCTCAGCACCGCCAGGGCTATCCACATCTGTAATTCCAGCCTCTTGGGAGGTAGAAGCAAGAGGATTGCACGTCAGAGGCCACCTTGGCCCAGGTAGCCAAGTCCTGTTTTAAAGAAATAAAGAAAAACTATTTAAATCATTTTATAGTGACTTCAGAGAACTGTTTGAGGTGTTTACTATGAGACATCTATAAATTCTAATACTTTATGAGAGATAAAAATTCTGTATATAATTTTTTGATTATCAGACAAATGTATATACCTTTTATTTTTTTATTTATTTTTTAAATATTGTTTGGCTGGGTGGTGGTAGTGCAAGCCTTTATCACAGCACCCAGGAGGCAGAGGCAGGGGGATATCTGTGAGTTCAAGGCCAACCTTGGTCTACAGAGCAGGTTTTAGGACAGGTTCCAAAGCTACACAGAAAAACCTTATCTTGAAAAACCAAACCCACCAAACAAAGAAAATACTGATTGTTAACTAACAAAAGCAAAACAAAACAAAAAACCTCAATAGGAGTCAGCAGCCAGGAGCATTACTAGAAAGACTTCAGTTTGAAGGTGGGCATGGTGTAATGCAGTGGTTGAGGTGGGGGAATCAGGAGCTCAAGGTCACCCTTAGTTACCTCAGATCCCCTCTCAAAACAAATAAAACTTCAAGCGAGATTCTGTTTCTACTGGTTTCAGGTTCGTAAAGTCACCTTCACGGAGTTCTGTCAAGGCCGGACAATGAGATGGGCCTTAGCTTGGAGTTTTTATGATGATGTCACAGTACCGGTAAGTAAAGACTTGATTTGGCTTCTCCAAATGCTTAGCACGTGATAAGCTTCCACAGAACATAAATGAACTAAATCTGTACTGTTCTGTTTTCCATTTGGAGACTTTCCATTTTTCCAAATGTTTATGGCAAAGTGGAAAATGTTTATAAACAAGAGCCCATCCTGGCATCTTTTAGAAGTTAAAGGTGTAGGCAGCATAGTCTGTAGGAACTTCTGGTGGTCATTGTTCAGTCTGTTTATCTGCCTGGCCACTGCTGCTTTCTTAAGCTGCTAAAGAGCTGCCATTGTGCTTGCAATAATTTTTCTTTCTCCTGTTCTGATTTCTCATTGCTGGGGCTTGAACCCTGTGTCTCAATCATTGTAGGCAAATGTTGTACCCCAAGTTATACTTCTAGCTCCCTGGCTATATCTTTTTGAGTTTAACACCTAAGGATTTTGCTGATCTCAGGAAAAAGCTCTGGCTTGTCTTTTATAATTACCCCTAGAAAATGGGGATGGGTAGCATGTGCCAGTCCCAGAACTTGGAGCGCAGAGGCAAAAGAATTCTGAGTTTGAGGCCAATCTGAAGTAGTACCAAGGAGATTGCCTCAAAAAGAGCTATAAATGTGGCTCGGTGGTTAAGCATGCTTTCTGCTCTATCAGAGTGCCATAGTTCAAACTTAACCCCTATCTGACAGCTCACAACACCTGTGACTCCAGCTCCAGGGGCTCCAGCACCCTCCTCTGCCCGCCATCGGTATCTCTGTACACACACACACATCTTATGATTTGTTTCCAAATCTCTCTGTTCTTTGTACTATTGTATTTACAAAGAAAGGTTTCTGAGGCTAGAAATGGTGGCACACAGCAATAATCCCAGCACTCAGGAAGCTAAGGCAGAACATTGAGAGTTCTGGGCTATATAGTGAGGTGTGTGCTTGTGCTCGCTCTAACTCTCTCTCTCTCTGTCTGTCTTTCTTTCTCTCGGTCTCTATCTCTCTGTGTCTCTCTCTCTCTATCTCTCTCTCTCTCTCTCTCATACACACACACACACACACACACACACACAAAACAAACCAACTGGTTTTCTGATTGCTCCTGGGAAGTACTGATAGAATGGCCTGTGTTTGTTCACACATCTCCATGCAAGAGTGGTCTGCTTGTTGACTGGAGACACACTTTTTTTTAAAATTAGGTATACAATATTCTGTCTGTGTATATGCCTGAAGGCCAGAAGAGGGCACTAGACCTCATTACAGATGGTTGTGAGCCACCATGTGGTTGCTGGGAATTGAACTCAGGACCTTTGGAAGAGCAGGCAATGCTCTTAACGGCTGAGCCATCTCTCCAGCCCGAGACACACTTTCTAACCTCTGCTCGACTGCCCAGCTCTTTATTCTCGTGGTGTGTGAGGAGGCTAGTACTGACTCCTGCAGGTCTCTGTGCCCATATAACAGGCTTGTTCTGGGGCTGCCTCTTCCAAGGACTTGGGCATTCATTTTGGGTCTCCAGAGCTCTACTCAATGTTGCTGTCTTTGAGTCTTCGTTGCTATAGACAGAGAGGTAGATAGATGTGTGTGGGAGCACTAAGGAATGATTTGCAGATGTTGCCTTGTTTTTGAAAACATGAGGGTCAGATTTGAAGCTGAGCCGATTCTTCCTCCACAACTAGATGTACTGCAGGATTGAAACTGCTCCTATAGAGTGTCCTTTCCATGGATGCCTAGACTGGCTTTGGGGCTGTGCAGTGGGGTACCCAGAAGTTAGTGTTTAATTTGATCACTAGTTTAAAAGATGCCTTTGCTTTCCAAATATTATCTTGTTGTTTTCTAGACTACTAGGACACAGTAGATGGTTGAAATCATTAGCAATGCCCTTAGCTATCCCTGTGCAGGCACAAACAGCTGTGGGAAATGGGAACAGCACCTGCTTCCAAGAGTGTCTTCTTAACCTGCCGCCCACATTTTTTTTGACACAGCTGGGAAGAACTGATAATGGGCTCTGACGCTCCCCACAACAACCCGGAGAATTTTCCTTTGCCCTCTTGGATGAAAGAGTCATCACAGACACTAGTGTTAAAGGACAATATCTTTGTGCAAAGTTAGTTTAGTTTGATTTTTTCTTTCAAAATCAACTTACTTAGAAAAGGAATCTATGAGCCTCCCTCTTTCCCTTTTAGGGTGTCTTGTAGCTCTGCATGGTTTCTAGCCATCAAGGATGCTGTCTAAGGGACCGAGTTCCTCCTGTGCTACAGAGTGCTCCCCCCCCCCAGTGTAGTCATCCCTAAGCTGCTAATAGTGCATTCCCCAGTGTTCCATTAAATGCACTTAAACTGCTGGTGTGTGTGTTGGGGGTGGAGTGGGGGAGAGGGTGACAGCTTCTGATTTGTAGTAACCCAGCAACAGTTTCTTAGCACTTACGCCCTAGATTGGCGACTGCTTTCCCTGTGGGTAGATCCAGGTTACTCTGGAGATTTTGAGTTGACCTTCCTCTTGGTTCCCCTTCCTTCTTCTCAGACTCCTCAGTCACCATTTTTCTGGACAGCTCACCTGACGTTCCTCTCTTGCTCCTGGTGGGGATCTGGCAGGTGGAGAATGCTGTTTCAGTCAAGGAGAGGAAGATACTGAATAGAGCTGGTTAAGCAGAAATATTGACCTACTTCCCCGCCCCCACCCTACCATTTATCGTGATGTGCAAGTTTCTATGGCAACTTGTGTTTTCACTTATGTGAGGCCTACTGACTTGTTTCTGTTGGTGCTAAATGCTGAAAACTCTAATTCAAGCAATTCTAGTGCCTGCATGGAGCCCACTGCTGTTGTTTGCACTCATTTTAGCAACAGAAAGACTTATCTAATATTGGTAGAATTTTTGTGCCATCGCTTCTGACCGATGAGGACTTGGGGAAGCAGTAAGTTTTCCACAGGATGCCGATAGGTCACTTTTAGAGCCCCTTTCCCCAGTTTTCTAAGTCTTCAGGTCTGTTTTGCTTTCAGGAAGTTGAAGTTGGTTGAAGAGTTGGGTAGAGGGTGACACATTGTAGGCGGAGGCTGCTCGTACGTTTCCCAGCCACCCAGACCTCCAACTTTATTAACTACAACACTAGCCGGGCGGTGGTGGAACATGCCTTTAATCCCAGCACTCGGGAGGCAGTTGCAGGCGGATCTCTGGGAGTTCGAGGACAGCCTGGTCTGCAAGAGCTAGTTCTGGGACAGGCACCAAAGCTACAGAGAAACCCTGTCTCGAAAAACCAAAAAAAAAAAAAAAAAAACCTACAGCACTGTTTGGCCAATAATTCGGATATTTCTAGCTAGCTCTTATATCTTAAATTAACCTATTTCTATTAATCTGTGTATTGCCACAAGCTGTGGCTTACCGGAAAGGTTCTGGGTCCTCCTTCGGCAGCTACATGGTGTCTCTCTGACTGCCTACTTTATATCTCTGTTTAGATTTCCTGCCTGGCTTTACCCTGCTAAGCCATTGGCCAAAACAGCTTTATTTTTAGTCAATAAAATACAGAAGGACATCCCACATAATCTCCCGTTTTTTTAGGTTTTTTTTTTTTTTTTTTTTTTTTTTAGTTACAATATTTAGTCTCTTTGTATCTGGCAAAATTTAAGAAAATATACTATCACCTATTTTATCTTTGTGAATCTAAAGTTTTATATTTAATTTACCTTTTATCATAACTAAGGCAAACTATAACTGTCTTCAACTCTTCAAAGACCCCAGAAGGTTATAATGTTACCTTAGTAAATAAGAAGTGCATTGTAAGCAGCTTCCAAAATTCTAGGATTGACAGAGACATCTCCCTTCCTGGACAGTCACCCAAAGTTCTTCTGTAATGTTGGGGCATCATCTTCAGGCTACAGGCCCATAGTATCTAGCACACTTTTTCATGAAGCAAGAAATTTGAAAGGCTATTTTGCCTATCTTGGCAGTTTGTCAGTCACTTTCTTCTGTATCCTACAGAATGTCTGGCAGGAACCCTGAAGGACCATCCTGTCTTTTGGAATGTTCAGCAGTCATTTTTCTGTGGGTCCTGCATGTCCAGTTTGCATAGCATGCTGTCAAGCAATCAAGGCAAGAGCAGTTTCTTACCCAAATGACTAGCCTTGTCACATTGAAGGCAAATTCCATAACGAGTTTCTTCAATGCCCATCAACCTCTCTGAAGTAATTGGTGCTGCCAGAAGCAAACATGTCTCATTGTTGAGAAAAGTCTAAATTCTTAAAACATTTTAAATGCCAGGCCATATTCCATAGGTCTTTGAAGTGTTAAAAATTATTTATCTAACTGAAATAAATCTCTTTATATATAGAAAAACTAACCAACATGACTATAAGTTTGACTATTATAAAGGATTATCAATTAATTTGTAATTTTAAATTATATATTACATTTTAAATGAACCGCACAAACACAATACCTTAAACAAGAGCAGAAATACATATTTACAGTGTAATAAATTGACTTTAAATTTGTATCAATAGACCAAGATCCATGCCAATGCAAAGTATTCATCTCTATAACACATAACTAGTAAATAGTGTACTCTAGATGTGAACATTGCTCAGGAACCCTGGTTCATAAAGAATTCACAAGGCTGGATAGATGGCTCAGTGTTTGCACTTGCTTATTGCTCTCCTAGAGGACTTGAGTTTGGTTCCCAGCACCCATGTGTCCATTCACAAACCACCTGGAAGTCCAATTTCAGGGAATCCCATACCTTCTTTCCTTCTCCATGGGAAGGAGATTTGCATTTGGAGGCACATACATACATGCAGACTAAATATAGACATAAAATTAAAAATATTTAAAAGTAATCCCCATTCTTCAAGAGATTTTTCTTATCCTGTACTTCTCTGTCCATCTTTTTTTTTAAAGATAGATTGATTTATTGATTGATTGATTGATTGATTGATTATGTATACAGTATTCTCAGTATTCTGTCTGTATGTATGCCTTCAGGCCAGAAGAGGGCACCAGATCTTATAACAGATGGTTGTGAGCCACCATGTGGTTCCTGGGAATTGAACTCAGGACCTTTGGAAGAGCAGTCAGTCAGTGCTCTTAACCGCTGAGCCACTCCAGCCTTCTGTACATCTCTTTAACAGGAGGCTTTTGGGGGTCTAGATAGGGAGGGGTCAAAATAACTATTTGTGGATGTTGTCTGTTTTCTGACTGTACTTTTTGAGATTTACATTTTTAATTATGCATATGATGGGGGTTATGTGCACATTAGGGAATTTGCTCATAAAGGTCAGAGGGGTTAGATACCCAGGGACTGAAGTTCCAGGCAGCTATGAGCTTCCTGAGGTAGGGGATTGAACTCCAGTCCTTAGAAACAGTAGTACCTGCTTTTAACTCGTAAGTTGTCTCTCCAGCCCTAGATCCCTTCCAAAGAGACAGAGTCTCACTGTGTAGCCTTGGCTGTTCTCAAGCTCCCTATGTTGATAGACTGACTTTGCCTCCTGAGTGCTGGGATTTAAAGGCATTTATCACTGTGTTTGGTTTGGATTTTCTTTCTTAATAAAATATTTTATTTATTGAGGTTGGAAAGATAGTTCAGCAGTTAAGACCACTTATTGCTCTTTCCAAGGTCTTGGATTTGGTTCCTAGCCCCCATATGAGGTGGCTTACAACTGTCTTAGAACTCCAGTTTCAAATTATCTGATGCCCTCTGGCCTCCTAGGCATCTGCATGCACATAAACTCACATAGGCGCGCAAACACACACATACACTTGAAAAGAAGTCAGAGGAAAACTTGCTGGAGCCAGTCTTCTCCTTGCATTTTGAGGAATCCCCAGATTGAATTTAGACTGTCAACCTTGTCAAGAACCCACTGAGTCAACCTGACATCCCCCTTCATAGATTTTCAAGCCAGACAGCTGAAGTCTGTATAAGTATATGTCAGAGGGTTGACAGAAACGAAGTATGAACCTTGCTGTGGTAATAACAAAGAAACCAGAAACTTCAGATTCTTATGTGTTAGTTTTGTAGCAAAGCAAAGCACAGCTGAAACAATGTATATAATAATTGTGGCAGGTCGGTGGTAGTGCACACCCCTAATCCCAGTACTCAGGAGACAGAGGTAGGAGGATCCCTGTGAGTTGGAGGATAGCTAGGGCTACACAGAGAAACCCTGTCTCAAAAAATAAAAATTTTGTGCATGCATAAGTACTGAGATGAACAATAGGGACAAAAGCATTTCAGAGAAGGAAATAGTTGGGATTAATGTGGTCAGACATGACTTTAGGGACCAAGATTTGCCTGTTTGTTTCTTTGACAGTCCTGTCCTGAGGAAGGATTTGTTGAATGTTTAAAGGAATAGTTTAGGACTTACACTGAGTCACAGCCTTGTGAGTAGGACATTAATAGGTTTGGAAGATTTGATGTACTGCCCATAGTTGTCACTGTTACTTGAATACACATACTATCTCCTTTTCATTAAGCCAGGAAACAGTTGTATGAATAGCAATACCAGCCCTTGGAGGCTGCAGAAAGTCAGACCCCAGTTTGATTTTCTAGCCCAGGCTTTAATCACTTGGGTATTGACTCTGCTTACCAAGTCTCTTGTCTTTTCCTAAGCCTTGCCACCAATACCTCTTCCCTGATCAGTCTTTAATGAAGAATCTTGTTTAGGAGTCATCCCAACAGCCTCTCTTCTGGGAACATTAAAGTTCCCCTAAGGCCACCATTCTGGTCATAGTCCTACCTGTGCGCTGGGTATGTAACTCAGTGACAGAATGCTTTTCTAGCATGCATGTAGTTCCATTCCCCACATCACAAAAATAACAATAGTAGTATTTCTACAGATATAAAATGCAGAATACAGGGCTGGAGAGATGGTTCAGTGGTTGAGAGCACTGACTGCTCTTCCACAGGTTATGAGTTCAATTCCCAGCAACGACATGGTGGCTCACAATCATCTGTAATGAGATATGGTGCCCTCTTCTGCCTGTAGGTATACATGCAGACAGAACACTGTATACATAATAAATAAATAAATAAATCTTAAAAAAATGCAGAATACAGATACAAAATTTCTAGAGTAGATATAGAACAATTTCTTTCTGCTGTATTGAAAGTTATATATTAAGGGGCTGGAGAGATGACCCAGCGGTTAAGAGCATTGGCTTCTCTTCCAGGGGTCCTGAGTTCAATTCCCAGCAATCACATGGTGGCTCACGACCATCTGTAATGAGATCTGGTGCCCTCTTCTGGTGTGTAGATATGCAGGCAGAACGCCGCATACATACATACATACATAATAAATAAATAAATAAATCTTTATTAAGAAAGAAAAAAAATTATATAGTAGAGTGAGTAAATCTTTTTTTTAATTGGTAAAGCAGTTTGGCTCCATCTCAGTCTCTTTGTACTTTCCCACTCATAAGATTCTCTTTCTCATGTGGTTGCCTCTGTGACCATAAAATTTTTCAAGTTTTTTAGCAGCATATATGCCATGGCCCTTTAATTGTTGGTACTGTCTAATATGGTAGGCAGGAGAATTGAGGATTTAAGGTCATCCTTTAGAGTTTTGAGACCGGCCTGGCTGTGTGAGATCCTGCCTCAGAAACAACAACAACAACAAAAAAAACATTTCAGTTGTAATAAGATATAAAAGTGTCCTAGTGCCAGAGGCCTATGGGGTTGTGTTTAACTATAATTTTTTTTTTTTTTCGAGATAGGGTTTCTCTGTAGCTATGGAACCTGTCCTGGAACTATCTCTTGTAGACCAGGCTGGCCTCGAACTCCCAGAGATCCGCCTGTCTCCGCCTCCTGAGTGCTGGGGTTAAAGGCGTGCGCCACCACCTCCCTGCTTCTTTGGGTTTTTTTGTTTGTTTGTTTGTTTTTGTTTTTTTTTTTTTATTTTCAAGAACGGTTTCTCTGTGTAGCCCTGACTATCCTAGAACTCACTCTGTAGACCAGGCTGCCCTCAAACTCAGATTCAACTGCCTCCGCCTCTCAAGTGCTGGCATAAAAGACCTGCATTTAGCAACACTGCTGCCCAGCTAAATGTAACTTTTTAAGAGTACCATGTAAGCCAGGCGGTGGTGGCGCACGCCTTTAATCCCAGCACTCGGGAGGCAGAGGCAGGCGGATCTCTGTGAGTTCGAGGCCAGCCTGGTCCAAGAGCTAGTTCCAGGACAGGCTTCGTAGCTACAGAGAAACCCTGTCTCGAAAAACCAAAAAAAAAAAGAAAAACAAAAATAATTTACTGTAGTGTTACTCTTGGTGTTTTAAGTGGAGCTTTAGTCCCTCTAGTGGGTGGAGGAGTGTAGCCTCCCTAAGTCCTTGGTAGAGAGTTTGGTGACGATTAGATTCCCATGGCCCTTGGTTTCAAGTGTAGTGTTCTCATTAGTGCTGGTATCCTTCATCCTCCGCTGACAGGCAGCTACACTGTTGATGAGTTTATGTTAGGTGTGTACTCTACCTCTGAGCTACATCTCTAATCAGCCTTTCTGTGCAATAGTAAAGTGGCAGTAGTAGTTCTTAGTGTGGAGGCCAGAGGACTAGACTACCTTGGCTACTGTTCTTGGGCAGCCGTCCACCTTGCTTTTTTGAGATAGGGCTTCTTATTGGTCTGTCGCTCACCAGTTGAGGGAGGTTGGCTGGCCAGTGAGCCCCAGGGATAGTCCTGTCTTCGCTGCCCCATTAAGGGATTACAAATGTGCCACCAGGCTTTTTTTTTTTTTTTTTAATGTGGATTCTTGGGATCAGGTGCACATCTTCAGGCTTGTATGATAAACACTCTACAAACTGGGGTGGCACTCCCTGTCTATGTGCAATTCATTTTGGGCTTGCATGGGGTACCACAGATAGAAAAGGCATTTAGTGCTTGGAGAATGTCTATACTAGTAGCTGGAGTAAAGTAAGGTGATGGGATTTGAAGGAATTTGTATTTGGAGTTTGAATCCCAATTCTGTTACTGCTAATGGTGACTCTGAGCTATGATGACATAGCTTTGTAAAGTGAAGAAACAGGCGGAGCTGTCTCCAACATTGGAAAGAACACGTGCAAAAGCCTGTTTCATGCCCTGTACTTGGGAACAGAAACCCTGGGATTGTCCCCACTTGTGTCCACTGTCATGCACTGTATTTAATTGTTGGGATAACTTTCTCCTTTTTTCTTTTAGTCACCTCCAAGTAAACGAAGAAAATTAGAAAAGCCACGGAAACCCATTACATTTGTGGTGTTGGAGTCTGTGATGAAAGAATTATCCCTCAAAGCCTCGTCTTTGGGCTCTGAGACAGTAGAAGGCATAGTAGTTGTGACAACATGGATAGAAAAAATTCTCACTGATCTGAAGGTGTGTGGCCAAGCATATTGATGAAGTGCTCACCCATAGTGACTTTTATGGTTTTTCTTTAATTGAAGGGATTTGGTAAGTAATGACAGATGATTGCCTATAAAATTCTGCTTTTTCCTCCACATAGGTTCACCATAAACGAATTCCGTGTGGAAAAGAAGAAGTTAGCCTTTTCCTGACAGCCATAGAAAACTCTTGGATTCATTTAAGGCGGAAGAAAAGAGAGCGAGTGAGACAGCTGAGAGAGGTTCCCCGAGCTCCCGAGGACGTTATCCTAGCCCTGGAGGAGAGGAAGTCCACTTCCAAAGAGCTGAGTGGTAGCCAGGACGTGGCTCCGTGCTCCCACGAGAGTGCCTTGTGCGGGCTTGCCGTACCAGAAGGCGAATCTGCCACTATTGGTGGCCATTGCCTCAGCCAGGAGTCACTTTGCCAGGAGGAAACTCTAGAAGCCATGGAGGATGAAAGGAGTGAGGAAAGGGGAGGGATGGAGACCATGGAAAGTTGTAAAGGCTCTAGCAATGGAGCCCAAGCCCGAGAGGCTTCTGAGAAGGCAGACGGCCTGGACGGAGCAGCTACACGTTACCTGTTTAAGTGCCTGATCAACATTAAGAAGGAAGTAGATGGCGCCGTAGTTGAAATGCATTGGGTTGAGGGCCAGAACAGGGATTTGATGAATCAGCTTTGTACCTACATACGTAACCAAATGCTGAGGCTTGTTGGGGTAGTTAATTCTTAATTTCTTCCACGGTTAGAAAAGTGTCTGTATAAAGCTAAGGATATGGTGCAATGACCGTATGTGCTTAGTGTGCAGAAGCTACCCTGGGTTGTGTCCCTAACATCTAACATCAGTACAAAAAAGTCTATAAAGTAACTTTGGAAGTGGAGCCTATTGGGAAGCCAGAGGAATTTCACTACTGGTCCTTTAGTGACACCATGTGGAATCATGTTACAAAGCAGAAATTTAGTACACTTATCCCGGTACTTGAAGGCTGAGGCAGGGTGACTGCTCTGAGTTTAGGGTCAGCCTATGCCATAGAGAAAGACACTTGTCTAAATAAAAAGAAAAAAGGAAAGCAGAAATGAATCCATTTTTAACCCTTCCCCTCTTAAAGTGATCTGGAGTTGTGTGTTTGGTGCAGTGGCTCAGGAGTTTATCTGCTAGTGACTATTGCTAGCAGATAAACTCAAGAGGAACTTGGAACCTCCTCCAGCAGTTTGTCTCAGCCTTGAACTCATTCCCTGAGGCCAGAGGTGTTGTTTGTGACTGCTGCCTGGAATGTGTCCATCTGTTGGGTTGATTGGTGAAGAGGGTTTCAGTGTTCTCCAATGGAGGCCATACAGCAGAGCCGAGCCTGGCAGTGCTCATGTTTGCCTTCAAGACACTGCTTTCTTCGGTACCTAGAGTTGATTGTGCCAGCCCTCAGGAAGGAGCTGCCCTGCTGATAGGTGGCCAGAATGTCAGGTGAAGAAAGGGCCAGTCTGGGAACACATGATAAGAGTGCATTGCTCAGTTGCTGCGGTTCTGACATTGCCTATTCCAGAGCAGAATTGAGGAAGCAGAGTCGGAGATGTGTCTGAGGCACATCAAAGTGTACCTGTCCCCTCCTACAGTGTTGTTCTTTGGTAATGTGCTGCTTTTTATTGACATGTGAAATGGAATATGTTTTGTTTTTAATACAAGACTTCAGAATTGAAAACTATTGATTCTGTTTGAGTCCTGGAATTGAGATATTTTGTTGTGTTTGAGTTGGGTAAACAGTTGATATGACAAACAAGAAACGGGGGTCCTCTGTGTACTCAGTAGGGTGTGGGGTGGATTGGTAGGTAGAGCACTCATCTACATCCGTGAAGGTCCTGGAACTCGCTTTGTAGACCAGGCTGGCCTTGAACTCAAAGAGATCTGCCTGCCTCTCTCTCCCAAGTGCTGGGATTAAAGTCTTGAGTCACCACTGCTCCTGGATTATATATTCAACACCAGAGAAAAACAGATACCGGTGTGGTGTAAAGTGGAGCCTTCTATGTGGCCAGCTAATTTGTTGGCCAAATCCTACTTTTTTTGTGGCTTTTCTCTGTCTGCTTATCTGCTTATCCAAGGCCAGGGTAACAGTGTCTGAAACTAATTTCTAATGGGAATGCTGGGGTTTTGCAGATACTTCTGGAAGAGGCTCATTTTTGTTCTTTTCGTGTCTCAGAAATTGTCTTTTGTGCTGGATTCTTGACTAAGCAGCCTAGGGTTCTATATGGACAGACTGGTATAGAGCCTGAGCTCTTTGGCACCCATAAAGACTGGTGCTGAGTAGTTAAGTTCCCATTTTGAGAGGTGGCTATGATTAGATCAGAAAGCTGGTGCTGTGGCATAACTTAATGGCAGCTGGGTCAGGCTGTTGGCAAAAGTATAAGAAAATGCAAATAATGCAATGGGGTTGAAAATTGGGAAAGAACATGTAGCTGTAGTCTTTCAGAGACTCCTAGGAGCATGTTCTCCCCACCCCCTACCCCTGGGGATCTGTCCGTAATATAGTGATTAGAGACTAAGGAGAAGCACTGATCTAATCCTCCCATTCATCTGGCAGCATGAAGAAACCAGTGTTCAGGGTCACAAACTGCACCCAGATTGGATCTAGGGCCTTAGATTGCCTGCATCCAGTAATTATGTCTGTGTCAGGGTATGTGTCTGTGAATGCAGTTGCCTGCAGAGGGATCAGATCTCTTGGAGCTGAAGTTACAGGCAGTTGTGAGCTACCAGATTTGGATGCTGGGAACCAAACTTGGGTCCTCTGCAAGAATAACCCATGCTTTTAACCATTGAGCCATCTCCCCAGCCATAGCTGTTGTCTTTGAGTCATGGTCTTATGTAGCCGCAGACTTGGTGTGTAATTGAGGATGAATTTAATGTCATTTTCCTCCAGTATCTCTATCTTGAGTGCTGGGATTATAACTCTGATTTATGTGGTACAAATGATCAATTAGTTGAGCCGAGGACTCCCTGTGTGCTGGACAGATGCTTTGCCAACTGAACTACAACCACAATAAGATGATATTGAAATCATCTTTTTCATTGAAAACACTTTAAAGGGACATATTATACATGTGCTTTATAATTGAAGGGAAGCTTTTTAAAGAAATTGGTTTCTCACATGTCACAGGATTGAGTGGCGTTCTGTTTAAGTGTCTGGAGGTCAAGTTTGTGTTGGTGTTGGTGGTTTGATATGAAATTAAATCTCTGCGGTATTGTCTAAAGTTCTATTCTGGTCCCTGGTTGGCTTCTGATCCCCTGATAGCTGAAGTGGAACAGAAACTGTACTTGTTTTCCAGTGTGAGGTAAGGAAGGCGCTTGTGTTTAGAATCTGCTCCAGTTTTATCGGTTTGCTTTCCTGTGTTCAGCTGTTCTCACACTAGGGCTTTGCTATACTTTAAGTCCAAGCTGGCAGCTCCGAGGAGGAGTTTTAGCCAACCTCAAGGGGTCTGGTCTGTTACTATATTTTAGAAAACAAAATCTCCCTGGTGGAAATCAAGGCTTCTGGTGTCTGTCAGGAATAATCATATGGCCAGATGTGGAAAAAAATGTAAAAATCACATACAGAAGACATCAAAGCCATTTTATTTTGTTTTGTTTTTTGAAGTAGGGTCTCATTCATGCAGCTCAGGCTGGGCTTGAACTTTTAAGGTAGCCAAGGTTGGCATTGAATTAACTCCTGGTTCTCCTGCCTCCACCTCCTCAGTTCCTGGGATTGCCAATGGTTGCCTCCATACCTGGCTTTATGTGCTACTGGAGTTGAACTCAGGGCTAAAGGGCAGGCACTGTAACAGTTGAGCTACATGCTAGGACTCCCTCTTCCCACTTTGAAAAGAAGGAAGTGAATGCTGGGTGTGGTGTCCCCATCTGTAATCTCAGCATTTGGGAGGTGGAAGAAGGAGGACCAGGAGTTTAAGACTGAGTTCGCAATTGGTCTTGTCTACATTGTGAGTTCAGGGCCAGAGGGAGTTGTGTGAGACCTGTCTCAGGGAGAAGCGCGGAAAGACAGACTGTGGGAGCCCTTTGGTCTTTTTAACTTGCAGCACTTTCTTTTGGAGCCACACGGGGGCACCTTCAGCCCCTTCAATTGAAAAATTGAACTTCAGTTGAACTTCATTGTGGGAATGGATGATTGTATCTATAGAATTTTCTAGAAATACTCAGTTATATCCAGACAAATATTTATGACGGTACATTTTCACTTAAAATTTTTAAAATGGAAGTATAAGGGAGAAAAAAAAACCCTACTAACACTTTTTATGCCCCCCACCCCCACCCCCAAACTCACAGAGATCTGCCTGCCTGTGCCAATACCACCCGGCTGTTTTATGTTTTTTATTGTCTCAACTGACGAGGTTTTCTTCACATCCGTCTACTGTAGAATATACTCATTAGGCCTGTCCTTTGGATCTTTTGTTTGTTTCTCAAGCTTTATGTTTCAGGTCTGGTAAGAGATCTAGAAAAATGCATTTTCATCTTGCTTTGTCTTTGATCTTGGTGGCAGACTAACATCCATGTGATGAATTATTTATATGAATAGTTGTGAGGGTTTATATAAACTAGCTGGGCCTTATTTCTTAAGTAGGCTGTTTCTGTATAGATTAGAACATGCATATGGCTAACCCTGTATGGCTGAGGCTCAAGAAGAAGTACTCTCTGTTTATTCTATGGTACAAGGTCAGGATCTGCAGTGACCCTTCTACCCCATTTGCAAAACTTCAGTTATTGTTCTTTGAGCAAAGATGCGTCTCAGAGGTGCCCTAAAGAAAGGGACATGACTTCACTGTTCTCAGGGGACTTGCTGCTCAGGAGATTTTATTTGCTGAATGGCCATCACCTCAGTAAAGTGCTGTCGTAGTCACTAATAGGGTTTTGCCTCTTGAAGGAGGGCATTAATGGTTTTGAAAGATGCTAATCATCCCATGTGCCTAGTGTAAGTACCACTGCAGTTTGTTAAAAAGCCTGGCTCAGGGCACCCGTAGCCATAGAACTTACACATGCCTGAGATACTATTCTGTTCTGGAAAGATCTGCTATGACTCACTCAAATGACTAAAACAGCGGTTCATTTCTTTAATTGCTGGTTGGAACAGCTAATGCTGCCTTTGTGAGTCTGTGCTTTTACTCTGGAAAACTATGTTGTGACTGAATGAAGACCTGTACCTCTTTGAGATGTAGCCCATCTGCCTGTCTCGGTCCAAGCAGAAATCTCAGAACTTCTAGGCTCTATCTTTAGGAGGTAGAGGATCATGGGTGCTCCTTAGCAACAGGGAAACTGAACAAGAGAAGAAGGTAGGGGGCAGAAGTTCAGCTAGCTACACTTGACAGTAGCTTGGAGCCAATGCTTAGAAGAGGGCAGCATGTACTCCAGGTACTGTTTACCCCGGGGCAGTGAACAGTGGGAGAGAGCACAGGCTTTGCGGCTCATCAGCCCTGGGTTTGCATGCTATTCCACTCCTTGTATAGGACCCCAGTCCGACTGGGCTGGCCTTGGGAGAACTGAGGGTGAGTGAGAAGTGTGAGATCTAGGGGAGTTCAGAAACAGAGCGACACTTGTAACATGCCTTCTCTCCTTAATTTGTAAAGAATTTTAGAGTTTTGGTCAGAAAGCCACCTGCCATTGGACTCAATTGAGAAGGTTAAGGCCTTGATTAAATCTATAGGGGCAGGTAGGCAGATGTAGAGTACTACCTATTAACCAAAATAAAAGCCAACCTCTGTGTAATGGAAACATTAGGAACTGACCATTGGCAGTTTGTCTTTTACAGAGATTGTCTCATTTAGTAACCCTATTAGCTGATGCAGTATTGTTGTGTAAGAGCTGAAGGCAATGGAACCTTCTAAAGCTTAAGTGACTAATGTTCTTCACCGAGCAAAGGTACGGAGGCAGGGTTTGAACTTGGGTCCAAGTAGCTAAGGCTGAGCTCTAGTGCCAAATCTAGAAAATCATTTATTTATTTATTTATTTATTTATTTATTTATTTATTTATTTATTGAGACAGGGCTTCTCTGTAGCTTTGGGGCCTGTCCTGGAACTAGCTCTTGTAGATCAGGCTGGTCTCGAACTAACAGAGATCCGCCTGTCTCTGCCTCCCAAGTGCTGGGATTAGAGGCGTGCGCCATGACCGCCAGCCCAAATCTAGAAATTCTATGGCAAATAATGTATTTAAGGTAAAAATGGCCTTTGTTCCACCAGTGCAGGAGGAGACTTTAGTTACATGACACGGGGAAGCCACAGCAAACATGTTTTACCCCGTCATAGTTCATCACTTAAGGTAGTAGAGTTTTCTTGCCTGTGATCAATTGAATGAGATTTTGTAAGTGAAATTACTTACAGTTAGGTCTTAATTTATGCCACCACATCTTCCAGAATCTTGTATTTGAGAGTAATGTAGATAATTAAGTAGTTAATGAAACCACAAAATAAAGTGTCTGGTGAAAGCCCGTTGGACCAGAATCAATGTGAAATAACTGATAATTAGGTAATGACAATACATAATTGTATAATAATAGAAGGGAGGTTTTGGTCTGTTTTAAACACTGTGGTTCCAAATATTTCATTTATGGAACTACACAAAACTCATGTGCTTTGTAAGCTTGCCAGAGAAGGTAGAATTGTCAAGAGAATCATCAAGTTCTCTTCCCAGGTGGGCGAAAAAAAACTGTAGGTTTGGTTTGGGAGCCACATAGACTAGCCCTTAAAAGGGAGAATGGCCTTGAGGTCTGGAAGGAAAGCCAGGGATTCCCACTGGGGGATTTGACTGAATGTGTAGCTAGCTAGTGGACCCCCAGAGGAGATGGTAGCTTGTTCTATTAACTGTTCAAAAGAGCGTCCTACTGGAGAGCAGGACCCCTGGGGGTCTGTGGCCAGGGCTGGTGTTTCTTACTGGTAGAGGGGGAGTCAGCCCTGTCTAAGGTAGGATCCTTGCTCTGTCTGACGTAAGTCTGTGACCTCTACCAACTAACAAGAGTTATTTCTGCCTCCATCTTTCCTAATCTTGCTTGCTTGGTCTCTGAAGTTTGGTTGCCGCCTGCTGTCTTACCTGGGGCCCTTCCTACTCCTTAAGAGGGAAACCCCAAGGATTGTATCGTAAGTCTTCAGGCTGCTGCCACCCACTTCTGTAAGTTAACCCTCATGCCCATTATACCCTAACTTGCATTATCAGACCCAGCATCTGCTGGACAGTAGGGCCATGGTTGGTCAATTCTACTGTGTATTTTCCCATCACACACACACATGTGTATATGCTGATTAGATCTTCCTGTTCCTTCACTGGCCACCATCAAAGTACTTTGATAACCCTGTCAGTTCTAGAAGTCCCCGAGTCCACACTGATCTCACCAGCCCTAGTGACACTGCCCTAATAATGTGGCTTCCTTATGGCCCAGCTGGATAACCTTGATCTCTGAGGAGTGTTAGAGTAAGGATTTATAGATTGGATTTAGATGGGGAGCAACAAGAGATGAAAAAAACTTGTACGGGGGAGTTTTCAGAAGAAAGTTGAGTGGAAAATGGTGTCTTAGGCTCAGTTCAGGGGAGATCAAACTCTATGATATCCCAGAGAAAGGGTGGCTTTCCTGAATATAGCAGGAACATTTACCCTCCTACCCAGAACCTTGGCATCCTACCACATTTCCAGCCTTTCAACAACTTCATTTTATAACTGGAATAAGTTTTCATCTAAAAATTTAGAAAATAATGAATAACCTACAATTCCACTACTTAAAGGAAATTATTTTACATTTTGTTGTCTTAGTTTGTATACATATGCATTTTAAACAACTGTGGGGTCAAAAATGCTGTACATTAGTTATACTTTTATAATCTTTTATTTAGCAGTATATTGTAATTTGTTTGTTGTTCTTTCTGAATAGAAGGATAATAATCTGCTTCAGGGAAGCTGTGAAAATAGGAGAGCTACCAGTAACCACCCTGCCTGAAGCCAGCCCTGCCGGCTCTGCTGACAGCCTGCTCCTTCCATGCTCGGATGTGGTATAAGCACACTCTGCCAGGCCGCTCTTGCTAGTTGGATATTTAGATTGTCCTGTAAAAGGTTTTCACTACTGAAAATAACATTTTACCAGATGACTTTGTATAAAAGTTATAATGTAGCCAGGCAGTGGTGGTGCGTGCCTTTAATCCCAGCAGAGGCAGATGAATCTCAGTGAATTCAAGGCCAACCTGGTCTACAAAGTGAGTTCCAGGACAGGCAGGACTGTTACACAGAGAAACCTTGTCTCAAAAAAAAAAAAAAAAGTTTTAATGTAGTTTTCTTTTTGTAGGGTAAATGTGCTAAGGCAGAGAATATGCCTCTTCAGTTTGCTCAGAAAGTGTACATTTCCATGAATACGTGTCTTTTTTTTTTTGCCATACTTTTGATAGTTCTAGAAGGCTATTTGTTTTTCTTTCTTCCTTTTTTTCTTTTTTTTAAAGATTCATTCTATTTTTAGTTGGGTCTGTCTGTCTGTCTGAGTCTGTGCATGTTAAGTACTGGTGCCCTAGGAGGCCAGAGGTGGAGTGAGCTGCTGGACACACATGCTAAGAACTAAACCCTCTGAGAGAGCAGTTCATGCTCAGCCTTTGAGCTCTCTCCAGCCGCAGAGGGCTAGTTTTAAAAAATTCCTTATCAATTGATAGGCAAAAAAAATTGTTTGGATTTCATTATGGAACTGACAAGGTTCCTCAGCTGTATATGTGTTATTATTTCATGCATGTGTTGCTTTAAAATTTTGAATTTGTGACTTACCTATTGAAAACTCCTGTTGCAAGCCTTCTTTCCATTTTTGTCAATTCCTCCCTCCCTTTAACGATCATTTTATTTACAGTTAAGAATTTCTAGAGAGCCGGGCGGTGGTGGCGCACGCCTTTAATCCCAGCACTCGGGAGGCAGAGGCAGGCGGATCTCTGTGAGTTCGAGACCAGCCTGGTCTACAGAGCTAGTTCCAGGACAGGCTCCAAAGCCACAGAGAAACCCTGTCTTGAAAAAACCAAAAAAAAAAAAAGAATTTCTAGAGATAATCAAATCCATCACATGGTGCCTTTGTGTTTGTTTTATTTGCTTTTGTAAGTAGAAAACTCCTTTGCTCTGGAGTGGAAAGTGTTTGCCTATTTTTCATAAAAGCTTTTTTATTTTCAGTTTTCATACAGCACTTAGCAATTTATAGGTATCCATTTTACAGCTGTGCTTACCAATGGTGCAGTTATTACAGATTGACTTCAGCATTGGCCAATAAAGCTCCAATCTGAGATCACCAATGGAGACAGGGCAGGGCAAACTAGGGGATAGAGATTGATACTACATTCTCTGACCCTTAGCCCACCCCTAGCCTGGAAGTAGAAACTCAAGATAGCTGTGGCCACAAGCTCTGAAGAGTGGAGACTGGATCCCACAGCAGCCTGTTGGGTAGCAGCTGGACGGTAGACCTTTCCCAGGCACTGACTGCATCCAGCTCTCTCATCTCCCAGCTCATCTCTGCCCCACAGGATCCAGCTGGCTCTTGACTCACATTGCACGACTCCACCTCTCTTTACTCATAACTCTGCCCCGGCCCACTCCCTTGACCTGAATTAATTGACTCCTAGGAAGCCACAGCCTTTTTCCTTCAAAGAAATGTCTGAAGTCCTCGTGCTTCTGTCCCTGTCCAGTGGACCAGCTTCTTCAGTGCTGTGTTCACAGCTAGGGTGGGTACCCGCCTGGAGAAAAGGCTGCCCTTTTCCCGTCACCTTCCTAGTCCTGGTTAGAGGTTCCCTCAAGGCATTCTCACTCATGGACTAAACCTGTGTTTGGAGCAGCACTAAGCAGAGTTAATGATTATCTGTTTTTAACAATAGTGTGTGTGCACACATGTGCTTTCTTCCCCTGTTCACTTCCGGGAGACTTGCAGGGATTCTGGACCTCATTTAGATTTGATTGGCACAGAGAAGATCAGGCCACCTCTCCACTTGACAGCTTGGTGACGTTTGCTGACACCTTTTCTTGCTATCTTAGACCCTGTAATCACAACTCATCAGCTGTGACATCCAATGAGGGGAAATACAGGCAGAAGGGAGAACTCAGTTGTACCTGCTTAATGGGTGCTGGAGAAGTGGGGAGAAGTACTGATTCCTGGGGAACCCACTTCATTGATGACTGGTCAGGTGGCCTTGTAGGGTATATCTGTCACAGTAATTTGGAATTATCCTAATGGCTTTGTTAAGACTTGAGTTCAAGAGACAGGCAGATACTGAACTTGAGGCCAGCCTGGTCTAGAGTGAGTTCTAGGACTACACAGAGAAACTCTTGGAAAAAACAAAAGCTTGGGTTCAGTGTAGCCCAGCCCTAAATGCCCTTGATTTTTTTGATGTTGCTTTGATTTGTTTTGGGTAGAGAGTCATTCTGTAGTTCCAGTGGGCTTTGAAATTGGGAAGCCATCCTTCTGTTTGAGCCCAAGCACTGAGGGTGTGTGAGCCACCATGCCTGAGTGCTTGTTTTGTTTTGAGACAGGGTTTCTCCAAGTAGCCCTGGCTGTCCTGGAATTCCCTCTGTAGACCAGGCTGGCCTCAAACTCACAGAGATCCGCCTGCCTCTGCCTCCTAAGTGCTGGATTAAAGGCGTGCGCCACCACTACCACCTGGCAACTGGTTTCTTTTTATGTTTTGGAGCAACTAAGATTTGGGGGCCTAACTTAATATTTCATAGTCCTTAGGTGTCTGGTGTAGCTGTGTTTTCTCATGCTGTATCCAGTATGGAAGAGAGAGAAATGAACCTTGCCTGGGGTGAATGTAGTAGTCAGTGCCACCTTCTCACTCCCTTCTCCCTTTTGCTTACCAAAGATTGCCTGGCCTTACCTATAAAGATACTTAGCCAGTTGTCTGGCACATGCTTGTTAAATGAATAGCTGTCTGATGTCTCTCTATCTTATGTATAACTGTTTCCCTCTGGTCTTGTTTTAATTATGGCTGTTGAAGTT